TCTGACAAGACGGATGAAGTATGTGTTATTCTTAAAAAAAACATGAGAAAAGCTACCAACTTCAACCACAAGAGGTCACTAACAAGCAGATGACTAATAAAGCAACCAATTACCATAGTACTAGAACATGTTGACTCCTCTGTATTTGGCATTGTGGGATAGTGCCAACATTGACATTCCAAATTCCACAAGCTAAAACTACATTTGTCTAACATTTGATGGATTCCTGTGTTTTATTATTATTATTATTTATTTATTTTTCCAAATTCTCTTAATTAAGACAAGAGTCAATGAATGCATTTCTCCAGTGCAGGGCTTTTGGGGGTGAATCCCACTTTGCCCTGATTAAAATTTCACAACAAAATATAGATTTGCATGTATGCTAATAAGCCAATTAAAACCATTTGAAATGTAAATCTAGTGACCCTCGACTTGAGCGGCAGCCCCCAAAGTTTCATTTCTCAAAGTAGAGATCCAAAATAATATTTGATAAGAAAGTGAAATCTGTGAGAATAATTTAAGATGGAGCCCAGTTTCTGTCAGTAAAATGCAAATGAATCAAGTGCTAAAATATTCTGGGTGAACTCAGCACAGCACAACTAAAATATATCATTACTACAGAGATCCTCCATTATCTTATCTGGTTCTTACAATGCCTTAAGTGTGTTCTTGTAATGACCTTTGAATGAAAGACTTCCTGAAACAGCCAGGCCATGACCTAATCAATATAACTACCACAAGAGATGCCCTCAGTGTCCTCTGACGACCATCTTTAATTTGCATTAACTGCTTGAAATGCTATAGCAAAATGCACAATGATCTAGTGTTACTGTGAGGCTTGAGCAAAAGGTCTCAAAACTCTTTCTATAATATGACCATATATGAAATAAGGTGCACTGACAGACAAAGAAAAGTACCAGTAAACTGCAGGCTGAATAAATTCACAATTTGCTACCAAAACATCCTAGCTATCTCCTGCCATGCCTTTGGTTTTTTTCCATATACATTTTAAATGAAGCAATTGGTCAACTAATAAAATCGACCACAGTGACCAATTAATTGACTAAACAACTATAGATCCCCAAACGTTGAATTTATCTTCTATTGTATATTAACTTCTTGGGTTCTTTTTAAAGATAATTCTGAAAATGGCTTGCAGTTACATTGCGAAACATAGAAGGTAAATAAATCTCCTGTAATGTCTTTAAAAAGAACCAAAAAAGTTAATAAACTACAGCTTTTGAACATACATCCACAATTTTTCCATGTCACTTACAAAGTTAGCTAAACTTTGATATTGCCATTTGTTTACATTATAACGTTTATGCAAAGCCCAATCCATGTGTATACAGTACGTTCCAAAAAAAATTTAAAATAAGACTAAAAACAGACTTCAAAATACAAATCAAAAGGAAGATTTTTTTTTTTTAGGTCAGAACTAAGGTCAAGACGTGTATGAATTTAAAATACTCTTATCTTGCCTCCAGAAATGATTTTACAACTCAAACTGAAGTTAGAATACAACAGCAGCCTGGAAAAATAAACAGTGTTTTTGTATTCAGCTACTGAGATGGAGCAGACAGGTCAGAGCCGCAGTAATGACCTGGATCAGACTCAAACAAACAGAGTGTGAATGGAAACCGCTGTGTTTGAGAAGAGCAGGGGCACACAGCTTCACAGCAAAAAACAATACTGAGCAAGACTTTGGATTCACAATGGTAAAGTTACATTCAAGAGCAGACAAGGATAAGCTGAAACTGAGCCATGACTGGAGGGTTTGTGCTACCCAATATGCAAATCCACACATTTTAGCCAGGGGGAAAGAAATGTTCGAGCTAAACATGAAAGAGGTTGCATACTTTTGGAATATAGTTTATACTTTTTAATCAAGAGGTCCACTGTCAGTAAAAGCAGGTTTGGACAGAAATCAAACTTGAGGATTAAACTGACCTCTTTAGTGCAGACATCCCAAGCCTGGGTTGAACTTTAGCAATCTTGAACTAAAGCCTCACGCATTAAAAGCAATATGCAACAACACACAGGTATAGGCTATAAATAACAGAAGATTGTAAGTTGCAATTGCCAAGAAGATCTATGCATCTCGGTGAAAGGACAGAATCTAGTGTATATCTGTTGGTCTCTAGTTAAGATAGAAGTAAAGGTTGCAGCTGGAAGAACGTTTGAAATAAAGCCTTGGCAAAAATCAATATGCAAAACAGCACACATTAAGATTGAACACACACACATTGGCACATGAATTGTAATATCTATTGTGCTGGGTTGTTTGCATGTTTTGTTTCAGATGTTGACAAAAGAGAACTATGTCTTGCATAAATTGTTGTGCTTTTATTCTGTGTATTCAAAAGTAGAGTCACTTTGCCTCTCTCATATTTCACCACTCTGGTCCATAGTTTTATGGTGATTCAAATGCAAAACAAGCCTGTATTCTGCACAAGACTATGATAAAAAAAAGTCTGCTTTCATCTTAAGCTGTAAATGGGATCAAACAGTAGCCTGTTCTTTATTTCCCACCTCAGAGCCTCCTCATCGTGCTGAAGCCGTTTCCCATTTCCACGATGCATATTAAGAACGATTAACACCCTGGTCACAGAGCCTAATCACAGTGCTTTGGGAAAGATGCAAGAACACTAATAATTCATGGGAGTGGTGTGGAGGTGGCACGCAGCCAAATGACACTAAATGTGGCATTTTTTGATGTATAATACATTGGCCCAGCACCTTCTCCAGTCAGCATCCATTATTAACAAGGCTCTTCTTCGCAGTATTGACGGCACATGCCCGGAGCTGTAGGCTTACACTGAAGAGCAGAGGGCCCATAGCATTTAAGTGGGAGGTAGTATCTGCTGTAAAACATACTACTAATCAGAACAACTAAAGAAAAGACTATTGTGTTCGACAAAATACTTGGATATAGCAGTGTACTTTGATATTTGAAAATGTCAACTTTTTTTTCCAATCACAATCTGTGTTTATCCATGTCCTATCCTCTTATTTACAGCTATGAGCCAATTAACACAGACAACTATCATTTGTCCAGCTTAAGTCAAACAGTGTACTGACAGAGCAATCCTGGCATGGCCAAGAAAAGAAAGTCATTTAGCTCATTGGCTCCTTGAATCACTGCAGGTGACTATTATTCTATTATGAGTAATGTAAATGTGCATGTGATTGTATACGGTATCAATTATTTCCTATTACAATAATTTGATCTTCTTTCTCTTTTGTGAACTTTTTTGACAGTAACATGCTCTCCATTATGAATTGATTAGTTTAATAAAGCAGATTAAAAAAAAAAAAACTGGAAAAGGGATATGTGATAATTCCACTGGAATTCAATTTTAAAAATCATTTCTCAAATGAGGATCTTGGTGATTAGCCATTGACACGTTCTTTTTAATCTCTTAGCCCAAATTGTATGAATTATTCTGCTTTTGGCAAAACACTGTGATTCAGCTGATTGCTACTTGTAACCAAAATCCTCCAGTTGTAACATTTGTCTAGGAAAAATAAAATTATTTGATTTATCTATCTTTTGAAAATATGTCAAAAGTCAAAGTGCCTAGAAAACATCCCCGACAGTGCAAATCTGACATCTATAATTTCAAACAACTGCGGCTGCCTCTCCTCTGAGTAAGGACACGATCAAGGAGACAGGGGCATCATTGCAGGGCAAGCTGGTGGGCAATTTTCCCAACTCTAAGCCTCCCCAAAGGGCTGAATCTCATTATGGACTCACAGTGAGGGCCAGGACCCAGCAGGAGGACAGCACGCTCCATCTGACAGCACTGTTCAGACTGAGCCTGGGAGAAACTGATAATCCACACACAAAAACATCATCTGAATTCACCACTGCTTTGAGGCAACTGCAGTGGATGCGGGAGGGATTTCTATTCATCTTGTGCCCTCTAGTGGTCTAAACAGGTTACTAAAAACCCTCAGAGTAGACTAGCCAGGAGTTTTTGAGAAAATATTTTTTGAACATCATAGAGAGCAACTAATGATAAAAAAACACTCTTATAAACAATACAATAAGTAATAATTACAGTTATACATTGAGGTTATTAGTTGTGGTGTTAGACTAGCTGCATTCTTTTCATGACATCTTTTAGGAATTTGTCACAATTTGACATTTTGATACTTAAAATTTGAATCAGTACCTTTCAAAAATCCATTTAAATACCATCTAAAGATCCACCTGCCTACAATAGGGACTCATCTGTCTCAAAAGCACTATATTGCCCTCTGGTGGTAAAATGAGCATTATAACATGCAGAGAGCTGTAGATGGTCTATCACACACGCAAGCAAGCACACACACACACACACACACACACAATGAGTCAGTGGTTTTCAGTAGACTGCTGTTAGCTCTATGACTAATGAGGGGATTGAGGGGGTCTTGTTTGTAGTCAGGAGCTACTGGGGTCTGCAGAGGACTAGAGTGTGTGCAGGGACTTTATCTTGTTTTAAATCTGCGAACACTGAAAACTTAAAAGATTGGAGGAGGATCGTAACAAGGAAAAACACCAAGTTCATGAATTTAAGTTTGATTAAAACGTTTTGTATTATTTATTGCCTTTTAAAAAAAATCTTGGTTAATCTTTTATAGAGAAATGAATGAAAACTGTGAAGCTCTACAAGGCTACTGCTGTCGTGATTTTGGGCTATACAAAAATAAATTGAATAGAATATTGGTACACTATTTAATTTTCAATGACCAACTATAAATAATAGGCATTTAAGGTACACATTGCACATTACAAATCATATCTTCCGTATACATGTCTCCACATATTTATCTTCTAATGTTAATCTAAGAAACAGACATCATGCTTCATTTAAATACAGGGCATGTTCAAGGTCAATGTTAAGGTTGTCTAGTGTCTGGAAAATTAAATATTTATGCAATCCAAGTGCTGCTTCATCTGCTTACAGGCCTACATGGAAAATAATTTGTGGTAAAATAATCAAGTTCTTTACCTTGGTCGATGTTGTGCTGCGGTAGTTGACTCATCTGACTGTGGACCACCCCGGCATAGTTTCGGAGGAAAGCCTCTTCATTCGGCGTGAGCTGAAACAAAGATATGAATCACATCAAACAGGACAGAAAAACAGACAGAATCAATACCAGGTTATTAGGGTGGATGAGGTTTTTCAAAGAAGTGTCACATTTCAGGAAACCAACATCAATGTTTAAGTCAATAGTGCGTGAGGGGTTGTGATTTCATTATAGTCAGTAGGTGCTGCATAGTGGATGGCTTATGTATTATGCACCTGACAAGAGTGTAGAGCTCTGAAACAATTCCAATTATTGCATCAAACTGGGGCAGCATAATATCTTGAGATCACTATTGGAGTTGATGCCTAAAATTGCAAAGGCAGCAATTACTAAGATTAAAAACAGAAAGACTCTCAGACTCTTAACTTGCAAAAAAAAAAAAAAAGAAGAAAAAAAAAAGGAGCTTATTTATACTGGAGAAACATTTCAGCAAGTACTGGTAGGCCTTCATCAGGCAAATGGTTTGTTTGCCATTTTAAATAGGTGTGGCTGGAGTAACCCCCATTCACCCAGAATGCACGATGAAAAAAATATACAGTCAATAGGTGGCACATATAGCTGTTCAACATCTAATGAAGACATCATTCTAATTAATGATTTTGATGAGCATTACGCGCGTCCTCTACTACACACCTGGATTCAGGAATACGATATGCAAACTAAAGCAACCTCTATCTTTTTTAAGCAATTCTTAAGATAAACTGATGTCCTCTGTGAAGAACTAAATATTCTGTTTTGTTCTACCCATAGTATAGACCTGTACAAACAATTTATGAAATGTATGGGATTCTTAGATTAGTGTGTATTATTTTAGTCCTCTCTCAAATGTTGATGCTCCTGTACTTTTTTACAATGTGCATTTTGAGCTGAATCCTACTGAATTGCAGACATTACTATTGGATGATATTAATTGTCTTCTTCCTCTCAGATCATAAAAGAAATCACAGTTTTAGAGTCTAAGAGCTTTACGTACATTTGATCCCATTTTCTTGAGCATGAGAAGGACCCGCACTTTCTGTTGGATGTACATGTCTTCAGGAGACTTCCCCGGGGCCTCCTCGCGGTTCATCCCCTCTGCTCCTGTGGCTCTGCAAACACACAATACATCCACTGTTTAAACAACACAACCAAAACAACAACAACACATTTATGATGATGTGATATTATCAGCATGATAAAATAGAATTAATAGCCAAGCCTGATCAGACCAACATCAATCATAAACTGACTACTAAGAATTACCTACTTTCTAATTGACTTTTATGATTTCTGGTTGAAAAGTCTTGTTAGTAAAAAATGTCAACTAAAAAATAAACATGAAATTATGTAAAAGTAATAACTACTAATTTTAACTACTAATACTTACTAATTCTACATTGAATAAATCATAATATTTTATATATATTATAATACTCTGCTGTGAGTGAAACCAGATTTTGTTTAATGAAGGTCCATCAAAATGTACATGTAAACAATTGTGATAAACTGTATAGAATCCATATGGAAAATATCAGCGCAGGTCAGCCACTTCACAGCTTGAACCACTGTCATTAATATTGCATGACTGTTTTCACACTGATCTCGCCGCTGTCTGCACCCTCTCTCTCCCCTCCATCTAACTAATGACCTATTTTCACTGTCAGTCTGCCCCATGCAAAATATAGGAAGAAAAAGTGAAAAGTAGGGAGAGGGGAGGGGGTGCTGGCGATAAAAGGAACAGCCGGAGCTAATGTGGGCGACAGCTACCAAGGCATATACATCAAGGTCTAGTGTTGTCAGTGGCGTTGACGTTCCCTCGATATAAAGACTGACAAGCTGCTAAATGAATGTTGAAATATTTAGAGGAAAACCATAGACAGCCTTTAGAAAACCAATCTTCTAATGAATTAATATCGGGCAGGTTTTATAACATTAGTATGCATGGTGAATTGTCCTCCCTTCAAAAAAATCTTTAGGCAACAGCCGCAATAGTTCTAGCAATTTATTTTGGCCTCTTATCTATACAAAAGCGCGCTAATGCATGTTGACAGGCTGTTTGATGTGGGGTTATATTTAATTGAGGAGCTAGCCCAATGCTCCCCTTACCCCCTCCCTGTCCTGTCCCAAATGCCCAGGGGGAGGGGGGTGAGCCGGGCACAGTGGGCTGGTCATTGGTCCCTGTTCGGTGGCATAAGGAGGTACAGCGGACTCAAGTCTAAGCACCTGGAAAGGCTTCAAACATAACATTCTTTATTTTCACAATATACACTGGATACTAAAATCTGGAAAGCTAGCATGCATTGTTACAACAATAAAAACTGAATATAAGCAAATTGTCTATGTCTATGTTCAGTGTCTGACATTTCAGACAAAGCAGGTGGCTAACACTAACTAAGCAGAAGCCCTTTAATGAAAGTGTTGAAGGTTGGGTACTGAAAGTTTGGGCAATGAGTCTTTTATGAGCTGCATGGAGGAGTCTTACTTCTTCAGCTGAACTGCAGTGGTTTAATTTGAGGAGTCATGGAGCAAAGTGCACCTTCAGGGATGAGGCAGCCCCCACAGCAGACCAGTGCTGTGTGTATTATGTATTAAAGGCTGAATCTGTGGAGGAGGGGGCCGTTTGATCGCATCTACCAGCTTCAGACAAACGAGGAGCGCACAGAGCAAGAGCAGAGACCAAACTCAAAACAAGTGACTGGGATCTGGGAGCACACAGTATAGAGTCAATACAGCATCAGCTAACATCTGCTTTTTACTTAGGCAGATTGAAATATGTTATTTGAAAACTCAAATGCATCCAGCGCTGTATGCAAATATGGCTGCAAGTTTAATCAACATTGCAATTGGAATGGCTGCAATTACAGACTTTAATGTCCAGTCTTCCCTCATCTGTTCTTGTACGTGACTGCAATGTGAAGTGCATCTTGCTTTAAAAATAAATTATTAGTCCAAAATCTGGAAATTTTATTATGGTGACACACACACAGATGCACGCACGCGCATTACTGTAAAAAAAGCAACAGACTTGAACAACACCTATGTAATATGTTCAGTGTTGGGAAGGTTACTTTTAAAATGTATTCCCCTACAGATTACAGATTACACACCCCAAAATGTAGTTTGTAACGTAATCCATTAAATTACTTAAAGTGAGTAACGTAATCTGATTACTTTGGATTACTTGATATTGTCATGTTTTTTAAAATGACATGAATGTAGCAACCACATCCTGAAAATTCTTGCTTGTTGTCTTCAAATTGTCTGAGCCCAAGTCTCCATGAATAAGCAACTGTTTACTGTAGAAAAACAAAGACCACGAGATCTTAATATAAGAGGTTTTGTCTGTTAAAAGACAGTAACAAGATAAGCCTTTCCTTCACCATATTAAAAAATATTATTGAGAAATTATTTTTTATATGAGATCACCTTAAATTATGTCAACCTACTGTTAGGTGTCATGTTGTTTAGACCTGGTTTAGTCCTGGTTTAGTCCTGATTTTTAGACCTGGTTTACTCCTGATTTTAGACCAGGTCTTTAGTTCTGGTTTAATCGTGGTTTAGTCCTAGTTTAAACCTGGTTCAGTCCTGCTTTAGTCCTGGGTTAGTCCTGGTTTAGTCCTGGTTTAGTCCTGGTGTTAGTTCTGGTTTAGAGGGGCACAGGAGGAGGTTTACGCGAGAAAACACGGTCCACACGCGGCGCACGAGACGGCGGTGTCCGCGCTGTAACTACGGAAGGAGACGTGGTCCGCGCGTTCTCAGGTTGATGATGATGATGAAGGTGTTTGTGTGTGTTTGTGTTTGTGTGTGTTTGTGTGCGCGTCCACTCATGTGGCAGGTCACTATAGGACAGTAGTGCAGATATTATGAGTCTATGCAGGTTGTTTTCACCAGTGCCAGTAGCTCCTGTTTCACATTTAAGTTGTAGGCGATTTTATATTTGTTTTTTTTATATATATATATCTCACATCGGGAGAAGAATTTCCAAGACACAAATGCGTTTTTACCAATGCACTGCTGCTTCCATTGTGTGACTGACACCGCCAACTTTAACATGACGTTTACATCGCTCTTACTGTCGCGTTCTGTTTGGGTTTCCGGCAATGAGTGGAATTACCGAAATAAAAAAAATAAATAAATGGGATGTAGCACAAAATGTGAAAACAGGAAAATACCGCCTTGTAATCCACTTATTTCAGCAAAGTAACTATAATCCAATTACCACTCATTGAAACAGTAACTGTAACTGAATACAGTTACTCATAATTTGTACTCTGATTACGTAACGGCGGTACATGTAATCCGTTACTCCCCAACACTGAATATGTTGTTTCATGTGTGTGAATCTTTCATTAATATTCCCTGACATAAGCATCTCCTGATGGTAGAAAAGGCCATAATCCTCACTCCCTTCTGCAGAAATAGGACGAGTGCTTTCATGATGGAGGCATCTCTGATTCTCTGATGTTCACGTTTGAAGTTTGAAAACTGGCCACATTTAGTATCAGCTTTAGACAGCTTAGAGGACATTTTATATGATGTGTCATCACTGTCATTAAATATATTTTCAACTCATGTTCTTCATTTAAAAGAGCAAGTTGTGTGACAAAGACACAAGAATGAAATGCAGAAGATGCATTGTTCTAAAGAGTTTTTTTTCTTTCCCAGCTTTTAAAAAGGAACTTGCTATGCAATGTTTCAATTTCTACATGAAAACAAAATCAGCGCAGTAGCATCAGGTTTACCATTATAGGTTTACTATTATAGAATTACATAATGCTGGAGCAGGCTGCTGTACAAACTTGTCTTTTCCAACAGCATCTATAATTACTACAGGAGTCCAGATGGTATCTTGCTAAAACACTATCCAATTTTCAGTGCCATCCACTCACAATAATCTTCCCTGAATGCTGTACAGACATCGAGCACACATTGGCACACATGCTTGGCTTGTTTACGGACTAATTAGGACTGGCAATACAGGGAAGATTTGGGCCCACTTGTCTATAATAATCCACAATATTATATGCCTTAATTAGGCACCATCAAGCTATCCAGGCTTTGTAAATATATTGCATTTTGCTATAACTTACAGATACATTTTAAAATAAATGTACTAAATGACCTCTGCTTATTCTATTGAGTCATAAAAACTTTAAAAGGCACAAGCAAAAAATTATTTCCTGGACACAGATTTTGTAATTCTTCCTTGGACCATCTGTCTCTGTTGTCTCACTGTCGACTGCAGAGCCAACGATGTCAAAAATACTTAAACAACTGGAGCTTCAGAGGAATATGCAAATGCTTTATTAGGCCGGGTTCAACATAAAAGAGACGCTGGATCTACAGGAGCTGCATTCATTTATGATATTTTGTTATGCAACTCACCAATTAAATATGGCTCTGTCTCTGTGCGTTGGAGAAGATACATGATAAAAAGTAGCCTGCACACTGGGATATAAATATATGCACTATGCTATTCATGTTTTTTGATAAAAGATTAGCAGCACTGTCATAGTAGTTATCTCTCTGAAACCTATGGATATCTCATAATAGCATAACCATTATTCATCAACTTGTCAACTTGAAAGACTGCATAGTCAAATTCTGTTATTTAAATTTTTTGTAAATTTATACAAGAATAAGATATATGATGTATAAAATCAAAATCATAATTTATATCTGAACCGTGAACATGTCTTTTTTATTGTATTATCCTCATAAACATCCCTCTCTCTCTTAAATGATTTGGAAGTCTCTCTGTATGGAGCTTCTCTCTGTGCTGAGCTTGTTAGGTTTGAGGTGGGTTGGCGCAGCATTGGTCCCTGGGGTATAGTCTGTCGCCTCTCACGACTTGTGTCCCAGACCTAATCAAAGGCTTTCTTTAATGCTGATCTAGGACTAAAGCCCCGTCACAGTGCGCTATAGGGCTCCTGTCTGCGGGCCCATATCAAGCTGCTCAAATGGGGCAGTGTGAATAGGAGTGGGCAAAAATCACAGACTTGAATTTTATCGTGATCTTACTCCATCCAGTCTGGAGATTGCTAAATTGTGATTACGTTTTTTATTGTTGAATAGTGGCAATGAAAAACCAGACTGATGTGTGTCAGGTTGTACATATCATTATCAGTCTAAGATTAGTCTTGTTGAAAGCAATCGAAAATATTTCAAGCTGATTGGTTGAAGTATCACAACAACAGAGAAAGCAGAGGAATGACACTTTGCCAAATCTAGGGAAAGCATAGAGTTTCCCATTACAAAGGCCATGTTTTTTGTATTTGTGTGTGTTTTTTGCGTGCTTTTTGGCTTGCTTTTTTTTGTTCTAGTGTGCTGGGTGTTTTGCACTGAGGAAAGCTTATTAATAAAAAGAGGAGCAATACCGTGACATTCCTCTAGACAAATAATAATTACTTGTATAACAGAAATAAAAATAAAATAAATTGTACAGCTTAACTGAATCAAAAATAACATATTATTACATTATATAATTCAAATAGCTTTAGCAAAATATTCCAATAGTCATATTAATCTAGACCTACAGCAACTGCTATGCAAATAATTTATCAAGTTGAAGTTAGAGGCCTCATTCCAAATAAGTGACCAGGCCAGCAGTCTGTGACGGGCTGGTGCCAGGAGTCCAATGCAACAGGATAGGTCCAGAATCTGGCCAAGGGCAGGGCTCAGGAGGGGCACAGAAAACCACCATCAACAAGTCCACTGCACCTGGTTCTGGATTTTTACATCAGATATTCTTCAGTCGAGGCAAACTAGAGTAGGTTTATAAAAGGGATGTCTAGTCATTCGTTATTATTTTTACATATAAAATGTGAGGTCAAAAAAGGTCATAAACCATTGGGCCAAAGCAAATGTGTGAGAAACCCAAGCTCCAGGACTGAAAAGCAGCCAGTGCATCTGCCAACGGCCGGGTCAGGAGCAGCTGGGGGAAACGCCATTAACAAAGATGACTAATGCAACAGGCAACTTAAGAGCACAAGTCAGTCTCATATTATAGGATGTCCTCAATCTAATCACAGGAGTAAGGGGCTCTGAAACTGTGGGCTAAACCATATTTTAGAACTTGCTTGCCCTTGTCCTTCCTTTGTGAAAACTAATGCTGGAAATATGCTGAAATATTGCTATTTGCTGCTAATGTTGAATACAATTTTAGCAGGTTAGTAAAGCCTTTTGAACTGTATTGTGAAGAAAAATATTATCTACAATAGTAAAATAGCGCATATAAATATATAATTCTACCCTCTGCAGCTCAAATGTTACAAAAATTAAGAAAAAGTGAGCCACTACATAGATATACAGATTGAGTATCCAAAAGCATTGTGTATTCTTTATTTATTTATTAATTAACTGTCAATAACATTAGTCGAATGATGCCCGGCAGCAACTATTTGTTAAATCCCCTTTCTCACTCTTCAACCCTATTTTATGACTTTATCTCAAATAAAGCCTGCAGGCAGTTTCCTAAAATTATGTATTTTTTAATCAGACTCTGAAAGTACTTGGTTGGCATGACAATGATTCTTAGGGGGTTAGCTGAGGCCACACCATCAAGAGTGTGTCAAAAGAAGGCCATCTTAACAGTACAATATAATCATGTGCATCATTTCATCATGAACATTCGGTGCTCTTTCTCTTACCAATATATTTGCCTCCTGTGCATTACTGGCAGCCCAGTGATGCCCAGCGTGCTAGCAGCCAAATGGACATCACCAGCAGACTGGCCTCCTGAGGGTCTGGGGGCAGTCCGGGTTCCCGGAGCAGTGGGGGGCACACCAACCTGGATGGGGATTTACCGAATGCCTGCTGCCCTGCTGTCTCTATTGCCCAGACACACATATGGGTTGTGCCTCCAACAAAGGCTACAGTATCTGGGGACAATGGAGATGAAGAGGACTACCACTGATAAGTAGGTCATGTCTTGTTGTCACCACGTGAGGCATGAACTCCAGCTCTCCCCCTTCTCCGGGCGTTTGGGGTGAATTCAGACGTTTTTCGCCAACATACTGGAAGGCTGAGATTAAAGTATCACTCTGTAGCATTTGGACAAAAAAACAATGCTTTGATGGTTGGTAAACCAGGGGTGCGACAATGCTGATATCGGTATCATCTCTGATACTGGACAATCAAAAGTCAATCGAAGATCCCCAATACTGATTCAGCAATGTAGGGTACAAACTAATTTCTACCGGAAATGTAAACTTGAAGCAAAATGCAAAAGACAGCAGTTAACACTAGCTCTAAGCAGTAATTGTGGACAGGACAGACACAATTTAACAACTTTTGGCAATGTATGGTCATGTTATACCTCTAAGGAAAGCTTTCAGATTCAGTCGTTGAGTTTATTTCAATGCAGATCTTTATTTTTGATTTCCCATCCAAAAACAGGTGCTTATTACTATTCAATATTAATAAACCCCTTAGCATTTTCAAACTGTTTTAATGCCTGTTAACCTTTTAAGGAATGGATAATAGAGACTTCTTGAACCTTGAAGGATTGTATAGAGGTCAGCAATAACTTGTCAAGTCCAAGTCCAAGTCCAAGTCTGTGTCCTTGGTTCACATGTCGAGTAATGACTGCCCCTTGGAAACTCCCAACACAGAGTCAAGTCTCAATCATCAGTAATCACATTGGAAGAGGCAGAAGTGACATGGATAACAAGCAATCAGTGTGAAACTCTTTTTTCTGGTGTCGTGCTATGGGACTATGCAATATATTATGATTTACATTTTAAATTTAATTTCACAAAGCCAGTTTTCCAGAAACTAGACTATAGATCACAATTAAGTCTGGACTGTGATCTTGGTGTATAGCTGCTTGCTCCCCAGGGGTCTCTCGTAGGAATTATAACAGAAGCTGAAGTGCCTGCCTTAAGCTGGTCCCCTGGGGCTGTTGCTGCCAGATTTCAAAGGCGCCAGCGTCAAAGCACAGGATAAAATTCAAATTTGAGAATAGTTATATAGTCTTTGTGCATGAGATAACAATGCAATTCAAATGTGTAAGATACTATGTATGAAAGATATAAAATATGTAGTGATATAAAATTACTGAAATCTTATGTTACATATCTGAAGCGCAAACTGGCAGATACCACATCCATGATAATAGGTAATAGTAAATAGGAAACATTTAATTTGATCATGAGGGCAGGTGTGCTTATCAGTATTCTAAGGGCAGTTTTTCTGCTTAAGAGGTGAATGAGACTGACATAGTCAGCACCAAATATATTGCTAAACATTTAACAATTAACTAAATATAACAGTGACATGACAAGAGCCGTGCCAAAGCACAGCCTGAGACCCGTGCGGATTTGCTCACAGCTCCTGCTGCACCTGCCCCTGTGTGTGACGAACTGAGGGGCAGGGGGTCTCTCTCTGATATCTGCAGCTCAGAGAATGTGCAGTGAGAGGTGGGCCTGTCATGTGCTGAAGACCACTGTGGAGCTGCCAGAGGAGTGAGAGCACTTAGCCCTGGGCCAGAGCCCCACACTCAGCTTGTGTCTGCCATCACTGCCCACAGAGGCCACGTGCCAGCTTCACCACCTCACCCTCTCTGCTGTCAGCATCTGACAGAGAAAAGCCAGGCACTATGTAAACCAGCAGAAAGAGCCAAAGATAGACAACTGTTCAGGAGATGTGTCCAAGCACTGCTCAGAAAATAAACTGCCTTACTGAGAAAGAAAGGAGCCACACTTGAATGAATTAAACATGCAGTATCTGATCATAGTAAGTTTAACCTTCAGAGCCTTGACAAATATGTGACATTACAAATCATTTGAATCCTACCAGATTGGTTCTTCTACCTGTGGAGACATGGGTATAACGTTTCATATGACCAGGTTGGCTGTCAACTCTCAGGAAGTTATTGAGCAGAGATTGTTTTGACCATAAGTACAATAAACAACACATTGTCAGTGAACACATCACCATGTTCCACAGAGGGAGCAGAAACAGTGGGGTCTGGGGACACATGTGAAACAAGGTGTCTCATTTGCAGGAGCAGTTCAAGCTGCAGTAAGCAGCAGCAGCTGCTGCTAGCCTCAGCCGTGACTCGAAAACACGACTTAAAGCAAATCAGGCATGAAAAGAACCGGTAGAGAGCGTTTACAGAGGGATCCATATGCCGGCTGTATTTCCACAAACTCACTCGCCTCTGTTCGGTTGTAAAGACTGAGGGTACACCAGTGAAGCTGCTGCTGCTAATAGCAGAGCTAGCTGCTAGCCGCCGAGACAAAGCCTGAATGAAGTTGCTCAGTGAGAAGCGTCCAGGTGCCGCTGCGCTCCAGAAGCGCACACGCACGATTCATTCACGTTTAAAACACATGACAAAGTACACGTTTATTCTACGATAAGCGGCACGTACTTACCCCTCCTGGTCCAGCTTTTCTTTCTTGTGTGCGTGTTTGAATGGTGTGTTGTTGAAGAAGGCGTCCTGTTCCGGGGTCACATCCCTCCAGCGGCAGCGCTACAGCGGACTGAGCCCGAGCCACAGGGAGAGCCTCCTGTGTGCTGTGGCGGAGCGGCCGCTGGGGGCGCCACACACTGCACAACACATTCAGATCCTGCTCTAACAGAGCCTCACACTGAAATAAAGTGCAAATCCTAGACTATATCTATATAGACTGCAATTTAACAGAGATAAAAATTAAAACAACCCATTTATACTGAACTAAATGTACTGTCCATGGAATATTTTCATGCAAAGGGACAGACCAATTGAGTCAGCCAAGATTACAATGACAATGTTTATAGCCTATGGATAGAATAGCTGCACAAGATCAGGCAATGTTTTACATTCACATTTATGTACCATATGACATAATAATTTGGGGACTACCCTTCATTAGATGTCAACATTTGAGTATGTGTGTTCCAGTTTTAAACAGTGGCACTTTTTAATGGCAGACAATGCATACATTTAATTCAAGTTGTCCTTCCAGGACTACAAGGTTACACCCTGTTTAATATAATATGGCTGCTATACTTCAAAAAAAAAAAAAACCTAAAACACTTAAGTAGGCCATGGTTGGGTGAGCTTGTTAAAGTTAAATGGCACTGTACATCACTGGCACTGGCTCCCTCTAAACTGAATACTTAAAAATACAATGAAATCACAGTGTTCGCATAAAACAACATTGCACTCCATCATATTAAGTGATTCACTTGAATGTTCATGATAAAGGTCTCAATGCACAATCCTTATTGTGGAGGCACAGACATGAGTCTAGGGTTCAAACTAAGATTGTCTTGGACTAATAAGATCATTAGCTGCAGTAACATCTGTCTCCTGAGACATTTCTGTTCAACAAGTAGCTATTTCATATATAGGCCTTTTGGTATGCACAGCAATGGCATCTCTTCCAGGCAGGATTTTAACTGAATACAATCTGTGTACAAACCATGAAGATTAAATAAAATACAACAAAAATACATAACATCAAGGAGAAATCAGGTTCAAATTAGAACCATCAACACTTTGTAAACCCATAAAACCTTCAACTGAGTTTTGTAATAAATCAGCTCATAATAATAATAATACATATCTCATGAATACCCAATGTGGCATTCACTGCCTCCTGGAGAATGTAAAGACGGACCTCCAGTCTTTATGGAGCTGTGGCTGCAGACTGCTCTGTTGTGATGCTCACTGGCCAGTCAGATGTAAACATTTGAGTTTCCAGAAATGCCCTTATTTAAAATAACTTTAAATTTACACTTATATAAGTTAAAATACTTTGTTTGCTTGGTCCTGTGTGATCAAGGTCTATTGTCTTTGGCCAAAGAGTGCATCATCCAGTTCACCTTGGTCTTCCAACTTTCTCGTAGAGCTTCATTAAATTTCACTTTGAAATTCTTGAGAGCGTCGTCCTCAGATTTGCCCAAAGCTAAAGAATCCTAAAATAAAATCAAATGATTATTAAAGTAGCAAAAATATATAATAATAATAATAATAATAATAATAATAATAATAATAATAATAATAATAATAATAATAATAATAATAATTACCATGGTGCATTGTAGAGTTGCTTTACAAATGAATTTGATTGTTCAATGTGTGATTTTTGTCTGTCAATCTACTCTTTGTGTGTATGTGGGCAGGCCAAGTAAGCTTCCACAGCTTCATGCTATCTGTGTGTGCTTTGTTCACATTCTTAAACAGAGGCAAATACCTTAAGATATTGAATGTCTTTGAATGAGGTGAGCTCGGGCAGTCCCGCCGCCTTCATCATGGCGAAGAGGTTCACAAACAGTGTCCCATTACGACATAGGATCTTATAGGCCCATTCACAGTATTCTCTGAACCTGAAAACGGTGAAATAAATGACTGAACTGTTTATCTTGAGTCAGAAGCTGTGAGCTAAAATGAACCATGAACCGTGATGAAGTACCTCTCAAACTTCTCGCTGTTGTTGGTGCGTCCTTGTTGAATTACATGGACAAAGTCGTATGTCAGAATGAAAGGCACTCGCTCTCTGTTGATACCCAGCTTGCGTTTGAAGTTCCCCAAGAAATGTCCAAAGTCAATGTGAAAGAGCTGTAGAGGAACAGAAAGAGATAGTCAGATTCATATTCAAATAATTAAGGGATTTAGGGATCATTGCCTTATTAATATTGTTGTGAATTGTTAATTTAGTAAAAAAAGTTTGAAATTTCAATTTGTGATAAACTGAACTATAACAAATGGAGCTCAGTAAAGACTGGCTAACAGAAACATTTTGAATGACATACTGTACCTGTCCAGTTTCTCTGATCATGATGTTGTCATTGTGACGATCTCCAATCCCCAGGACATAGGTAGCTACACAGTAGCCAGCACATGACAGAGTAAACTCCTCTATCGCTTGATCTAGTTTATCCCTGTGAAGATGTGAAAAGGCCAGAAATGTGTTATTATTTATAAAATATGAACAAAATGATTTACTTTGCAGCAGATTGTAGATTAAGTGTGGTTCATTGATGACAATATGTTGTATTAGTGCTTTGATTTCTAACAAAAATGCATTACATCATAATTTCCGTAGTAATCCTAGATCTATTCTTTATCTGAATAATAATGAACTGTTTTATCCTTTCATGGTTTTGACGTGTGTGGGGTTCAACTGCTCTGACAAGATCTCTCTGGCTTCATTTTGGGTGCTTCAGCATTTCAAGCTAATTACTGTGCTGTTGTGTTGTACAGTCAGCTGGCTCTGTTCTGCCAATGTGACGTACAAAGGCTGATTCATTACATTCAATGGTTCACTCTTCAAGGAGCTTTGTGAATGGATAAGACCTTCAGACTGCCTGGCACCAAAGAAAACTCTCCTCGTCTTTGGTGTTATACAAAATGGGATGTGGAGTGTTTAGTCCTGCTCTAGTAAATAATTATTATAAATATTACTCAACATAGATATCATGCATTAGCAAATCCTCAAGAAACATTTTTATTTCCAGCTCTAGTTTAATTAAAAGCGGAACCACTTAGTTAACATATTAACAAAGTTTAGCCTTTGACCATTCCCTCCTGTGATTATGAATGACCTAAACATTTTGTAAATATTTTTCTAAGTCTCAGTTTGATTCCTCTTTAGTCTGTTTTTCTTTCTTGGACAGCTGTCTTTCAGTCAGCAAAAACAGAAACCTTTACAGTTTCACAAGTAGTATTTTAAAGAAATTCAAAGTTTCAGCTTCCTTTTTAAATGACATTTTGAAGACTTTTGGCCATTTAAAGTATATAATATGTTCTTTAATAATAAGCTATATTTAATTTCAATTCAAAAACTTGATTTGATTTCTATTTAGAAAAAAAAAAAAAAACTCAAATATTAGCTAAAACTCACCCGGGATTTTTGGATTTGAGCCAGTTGAGTAGGGCGTCCTTGTTGAAGGCAGCTGTGGCTGCACTGTTACTGTTGTTGCGTTGAATATTAGCAATAGTGTCTGAGTTTTTCACAACTTCAATTAAACCCATTTTGTTCCCGGTGGATAGGCAACCATACGGGATCATCCTGAGAAATAGGGGGAAAAACAAGCCTTTTAGATTAATTTCATAATTAATTTATTTTATTTCACAGCTATTTATTTTTATTTCACAGCTGTTACCTGAGATCTAATCCCTCTTTCTTCCACAGATTTTCCATCAAGTGGATCATCTGAAGGGTTAACATGTCTTGCCGTAAATCTGTTGAGTTACAATTTCAAGTGTGAGGATTTAGATGACAATGCACAAACAATAACCAGAAATACATGCAAGCAATAAAACCCCAATTTACTATGTGATCATAAAGTAACAAGCTTTTAGACATATAATCTGGAGGCACTTTTTGGCTAGGATGGGGATTTAGGATGGGAACCTTAAACCAATTTCAGTCCCATAAACAAAAGGGATTGAAATTGCAATGACTAAAAACATTCACTCTAATCTGCTCACCATCTCCATTCTTGAATATGATTCCCACCATTTCCCCTTGAATACATGGATTCCTGTACATCATCCACAAAGGCTTCATTTTGGAGTCCATGAACCTGCATTTATCTGCACTGCAATACCAAAAACACAATTCATATATTAGTGTACTAATATAAATTATTGTACTATCACTTATATGTAGGGCTGCACAATATATCGTAATCACACAGAAATCACAATTCGAGGTGGTGCAGTTATCAAATTGCAAAGGCTGCAATTATTTAAGCAATAAAATGTCTCTCCCTCTGCAAAGAACAAAATTTCCTCTTTTTATAGCAAAATCTTATTGCTTGTAAGACCCCTAAAGTTTCTGAAATTCTTGTATTAGTGTATCAATTCATATTTCAGTCTTCTCTCAGATGTTAATGCTCCTAGAGTTTTTTACAATGTGCAGTCCTATTAATAATCCTGTTTACCGTGTTGTAGGCATGCCTTACTCACCATATCTCTGTGAGGATGATGCTGGGATTAAGGGGGCATAACAGGTCGGACAGAGCCTCCACATAAGACTCCTGTTTAATGCACAGCTTTAGGTCCTCTGCTGTCATCTTCTGTGAACCGGACTTCACAAAGTCACTGAGCGCCTTCATTTTACTCAGAGCTTCATTCTGTGTGACGAAAAATTTTAAATAAATACAAACTTCTATTCACCCACTTCATATGAGCTAAACATTCACCTTCCCCCACTCTCACCCACTATGAGGTCCTGACCTGTTTATAAGGACAAATACACAGTATTATTATTTGAACATTACCTGTTTTGTTAGAAGTTTGATGTGGTGGATGTTTCCCCTGCAATAGGCTTCCAGAATAAGGCCAAACCTCAAACCAACTGAGGACACATGAATCTCTGACCTTCAGACATATGAATGAAAAAGTTGTAGACATAAAATGTATTTCTTTGTTCAAAAAGGCACCCTGTTAGTTAGCATCAATAGTTGCTAAATTATTTAAAAAGACCAACAGTGTAACATGCAAATAAAACAACAATAAGACACTCATATAACTGAAGTGAAATCTTTGTAAATAATTTCAAATATAATCTAAAATAGCTTGATTTGACTGCCATGGAAAACTATTCCACTAAATAGCCTTTCTGGATTGTTTCTGCATTGCACATGTTTCAGCCACCACTTTGCTGTGTAGCTGAGTGACAGTACCTATTGTGGACAAAATCATTTCTGGAATACAATGCACTAGGCTTCTTTATTACAAAAACAGTTATCACTAGTACACAGTGAGCACTTTATGAATTTGTGAATATATCACAATAATACTAATAATAAAGTCCAGTATTGTACATGTTCCCATAGAGACATGTAGCTCATACCTCATGTGGACACAAACAAAAACTAAAGCAGACACAAGGAAAACATCTGTGCAGCTGCAGGAAGTGACCAGGAGATGACCTGTCATCTGTCAGACATGGACTCGGTGTAAGCAAGGGTAAAAATAACTCAAAACTGATGACATTCAAACTTATAAATAGGATCTACTGTAAGCTTCTATTGTCTGCAGTACACTGTTTCAATTGAAATTTTTAGTTTAGAAATTCAATTAAATGAATTTGTTTTGCTGCCTAAAATGTCCCGGGGCTGTGTCCAACAATGTGCTCTGATGATAATGTCCTTATCAGATGTGCATAAAAGCTGTACATAAGATGTTGTTTTTCCAGGAGAAAAATGTGTAGAACAGAAAACACACAGGAATGCCTAAATGTCTGCATGTCTCTGGGAAGAGGATTTAAGATACGCTTCTTCCAAAGGCAAAATAAGAGAAAGGGGATGCATTGTTATGTAAAGTGAAATTTTAAAAAGTAATACACTGAAAAATGTTTACCAATAGTGGCTGGCCTTAAATGCAAACAAGCTAATTCAAATGTTCCTGTCCTGTTTTCACACACAGTCATTTGCAAAATTTACAGCAACAGAATTTAAGATGTAAGCTGAAGTGTGGCTGAGAATGTCTCACCTGAGATGCCAAAACAGGAAGTGTCCAATCTTGCGGTTAGATAGAGCGCGCTCCAGGAGAAACATTGTGAGGTCACAGTCGAGATAAGACTCGTACTTCAGGACTTGTACCAGCTGGATGAGGTACTGCAACAGCTCACGGTCACTATCGAAAAAACAATAGCAAAATATAACAACAAATATAGCACCATCGAAACAAAAAGAAACCAAACAATAGAGCAAAATATAAATAAAACACTACTTGTGACGATGTGGTTACCTGAGTTTTTTGAGGCATCGTATTGTGAAAGAGCGGACAGCTGGATCTGGAAAACTGTAGTCCAGGAGCTCCAGGGCATGGATAGCTGGAAGGTCGGGCCAGTGTTTCAGCAAGCTCACCATCTGATAAGAGACACAATATGACACTAACATTTTTAGAATAAACAGCAGAATACAATAGTACAATATTACTATATCATGTACTAGTACTTAATCCTGTGGTAATACCATATATTGAGAGTGCTACATACCTGGACTACATCCTCTCGTTTGTTCCACTTGGTGATGAGCAGCAGTTTGGACAGACTTTCAGAATAATGATCTCGGACTTCATATCTCAGCTTCCATAGCAATTCCTTCTCATCCTCAAAAAACTCAGTGTAGTTTTTGTTGTCCATTATTTCTTTCAGCCTCAATAACTTCAGAAAGAGAACCAAGCAAAATCACTGTTATGGTCACTTTGATGTGACCATCTGTGAGTGAGTTTGTGAAGACTTTTACCTCATCTTTAGAGACAGCTGAAGCATCACCATTCTTTTCCATATCCGTGATCTGAAAGGATTCACAAATGAGTATAGAGCTTACTCCGTGTAGAATCACTAAGGTGTGTATGTTAAAAATAAGATGTAAATCAAAATAAATCTTGGAAATATGGATAAAGCAATTTTGAAAATATAACAATTTTAGGAAAATTTCAATGATTTATTTTACTTTGTACTTTGTAGTTGTTACTGACAGGATATTTTTTCATCTACTGCATCAGAATTTAGTTGGAAAAGATTTTAATTAGCAAACAATTTAGTGTAAATTACCTTGTCAAGTGGTGGGTAATAGAGAGGATGTGGTCTGATGTTGGGGAAGCGAATGAGCAGCCCAGCGGCACTGTCTACATTGGGATTCTTCTCAACTGTCCCCATTGGATTCAATAGGTCACTTTTGTCATCTGTGACATAAAGACACAAAAATGGGGACACAAAAATATTCTAAAAGTTCAAACCAAACCTTGTGTAGGTTGTATTTATGCATATTTCAAACCAATAGCAGGAAAGTTAGAGCAGCTGTTTTTCAGTCTGGTTTAACGTGAAATTCAAAGATCCCTAATTGATGTAATGTAATGTGGTTTAGTGGCTCATACCACATTGAGTTGTTTGCTCACAGATGCTTTGGAGGAGGCTGCGAACATGTTGAGACACTTTTAGACTAAATAAAAAGTCTGTTCATACCGGGAACCGAGGGCCAAGTGGACAGAAGGAACTCTCCAGTCTTTAGTTGATCCTTGTAGTCAAAAACCATGGTGTTGACCCAGGCAATAGGGCAGTCCTGAGGAGATCACACATCACAAGGTTGTGAATTAGAATTGTATAGTTAGATATGTAGACATATTGGGGGGGGTCAAGATTCTTCATGAAACTAGGTTTTACATGGTATGTGGCCATACCAGCTTATCCAAGCCTGATCCCGCCAGATCTCAAAAGCTAAGCAAGGCCGGGCCTGGTTAGTACTTGGATGGGAGACAACTGGGAAAATCAGGTGCCACAATGGGGCACCAGTCATAAAAACTGTTGATGTGTCCTTAGGCAAGACACTTCACCTACCTTGACTAGTATGAAAGTGGTGTGTGCGTGAGTGCTTGTGGTGGTCAGAGGGACCGATAGCGTAGATTGGCAGCCGCACTTCCATCAGCCTGCCCCAGGGTAGCTGTGGCTACAATAGTACCTTACCCCCACCGGGTATGGAGTGAATGAATAATGCTCTATAAAGTGTTTTTGTGACATATATCTGTGAAAAGAGCTATATAAATAAAAAACTTACTTTATTATGATTTTTTTTTTTAAAGAGAGTATATGTGTCAAAATAACTACCTCAAATAACCTACATCTATTAAATTGTCAATTCAATAAAAAATGTTATTAAAAATATTCAAAACCAGAGTTAAAATTTGAACAAACAGAAGCTGGCAGTGATATTGTCTAGAAAATACCCCAATAATAAAAACATTTAGGTCACTATAGTTTAAAATAGCTGAAGTCTGTCATGTCTGGAACGTTCTTGCGTTCCGGGCAGAGAAATAGAGAAGTTTAAGTGAAAGCAGAAGTGTTCTAACAAACACCTGGAGGGGGTGGGGGGCTGTTTACATTTTGTCATAGACCCATGGTTCAACACGACCAGACCACGGGTACAGAAAAGAGGAAGCTGATTACTGTACTTCATACTACACACTGTAGACACTTAATGTAGGCGTGCCAGCTGTAGCAACATTTATAGTAACTACTGCCACTTCTACAAAAGTAAAGATAAGAGAAACATCCGGTTAGATGCAAGTGGCAAATGAGGTTACTAGTCCATATGTCATATTAAAAGGTAAGTGAGTGAATCTATTCAAAATATAAAATGATAGCTGCATATCTGGCAATGATTTAAAATATTTTAAGTTGGGTTTGTGCTACCATTGTTGGCCACTATTAAAATATATCACTACAAATACCTTAGATCATTTCACAATACATAAAAAAGTGTTCCCTAGATTAAATAAGTAATTAAGAAAGTAAGTTAAAGCTGTTGAAAATCTATCACTGGAAAATGTTTTAATTTGCATCGAAACCCACACACCTAAACAGTCATGTTATATTAGTCAGAAAAGTTCAACACATAACAAAACCATCCACTCCGCTGAGCAGACTCGAGACGATGAAAACTCCAGACAAACTGACTACTATCATATTGAGTGACTGAGCGACATTTCTATCTGAAGAGACAAATTTAAAATTCCTTGAAATTGTTGCCGATTCCTTCCTGATGCTTAGATTAAAGCGTAGAAGCGGATGAGACTGTGACCACAGCTTTGCCACTGAACATACTTGCACAACCAGATATTACACATTTACACACTACGCTGTTTAGTGCAGTAAATAACGCACATGCAACACACATGCAACACACACAAACCTGCAGCTACAAACAAACAGTGCTCTAGAATGCTCTAAGTACCACAACAGTTCCCAAATCATCAGTCTACCTTTCACTGTGTATATTCAGTTAGAAATAAAACAAATTTATCACTGTAAAATACAATATTGAAAAGCTGATAACATTGCAACTATAGTTTTGGAAATATGCTATCTTAGAATACTCTGCAATAAAAACTGCATTTTTGTATTTACATTTACGGCTCATTCATTTTTGTGCAATACTTTCTGATGAACTGCCATAGTATTGGCTAAATATTAACATTAGGGAAAAAATAGATCATATTTTTCTGTTAAGATTGCACATCTCTACTGGATCCTTGCCTTTTTGCCATGATGTTCTGCTCTTATTACAATAGTTAAACATTTACTTGAAAATTAACTTTGCTATTTTTGTTTATTTGTCTTAAATTTACTCAACCCTTCCATGTTTGATTAAAAAACACAAAAAGTATAGTGTGAGACATGTGGCCTAATCATATTAGAAGTGTTAAGAAATATTTTTTGTTTTTTTATGATACGTCTGCTTACTCCTTTTGAGCTTTGTATGACATGATATCTGTCTACAGCTGCTGTTTATTTAACATATAGCACAAATAAAGATAAAAATTAGTTAAGTGTTTTTACTTTTCTTTTAAATGCATCTTGTTGCATAGGCTACTTACTGCCTTCTTGTTCTTCTTCTTGGTACCACGGGGCTTCTTGGTCTTCTCGATGACTGCGTACAGAGCGAAGCAGAGGCGGCTCATTCGGGGCAGGTCGCAAACGTTGATGTCAAACTCCAGTTTTTGGTCCCAGAGTGGCTCCGAACACACCGTGACCTCTGAACTTGTCACCACTTTACACAAGAGCTCACTGCCATGGAACAGACCCGCCTGGACCACCAGCTGTACAGTCAAAAGTACACATTACATTACATAAAAGGTAAAACTAACTACTTTACAGTTAGAGAAATGCAACATGTATCAGTCAGTTCAATAGACAAGAGGATAGCAACTAGAAGTGTAAGATATATCAAAATGGATACTACTTCAATTGAAAAAGAAATATGGAAGATTGCATTAAACTTCTAAACATGCACAGACGATATTTCTGTACATTTGTAAGTACCTTTACAGTTTTTGTGATACTTGAACCTCAACCAAGGCATTTATAAGCACATTTTAGCACAATTTCAATGAACTGTAACACTATATAAAATAAAAATATTGGCCACCACCAACAAGACCAATCAAAGGCATATGTTTGACAGAATAAATGCAGAGTTGGTCAGGAGGAATCATTACTGGGGTACAATTGGAAAAATGGTACATCACAAATAAATAAAGGATGTTTGCTATCAAGACATCATACTGTATCTCTTCATTTTCCAGCTGTTGCAAGTGACAAAAAAATTACATAAAATAAGCACTACTACACAATTAGGGCACACGATCACCAAAGACAATAAACATGCCAGAACAATCTGAATTGCCAGACTATAGGCTCAAATCACGAGCAACACTCTACAGAAATAAGCGGAAGAAGGCTGATGTATGAACACGAATACCCTTCACATGCATATTATATCTCGTCCAGACATTGCGTGACTGGTTTTGAATCATGTTGACACATTGCCCAGCTCTATGTGTTGACAAGCTGGCATGAAATGTGGTTTGGAAGATGAGCATGTCAGTGTGAAGAGTCTTGTTTGTCAAATGTTTAAGTTTTCAGGATGATTCAGAGTTTCCTGTGTTATTTATGCAATGAGTCTGAGGTCACAAAATCTAATGAAAAAAAAAGCCCCCCAAAACAGCTAAACCAGGACTGATTTTAGGGAGTGTAAAATGATTTTATGAGTCGCCCGTATCATTTAGGTCATCAGTATCAATCTATTATGGACTTGTGATTAGACTTCCTGAAATTTTTTAAACATGTAATTTACAATCTGTCCTATCCAGAACCCCACACAGGAAGCCCCACATTTTCAAGTTTATTAATATGAATTTTTAAAATTTGTATTATTAATATAAATATATTTATAGAAAAAATATGATTCACTTTTTTCATTTCACTGCTTGTATGCGACTAAAGAAATTCTTGATCGACTAAAGACAAGCCCTGCCAATTGATTAGTCGACTAAAAATGATCCGTGGCTAAAGCTCTTAAAACTATTGCATATCTCTGGATATCTGAGCCAAACTGCTCTCTCAAGACTACATCCATGGGAGTTCATGTAAAACAATTAATGCAGAAAAGAATACTAGGATGTATATAAAGATTAAATTTAGGAATCATAGTTTATTTAATCTGTATTTTTACATATAAACACAAAACAATACCAAATCTTCAGCTAACTCACTCACTAAGATCTCCTTTCTGCTGTTGTCCCATATAAATCCTTATAATCTAAATAAAAGGAGCCAACAATACAAATTTTCGGTCGACTAAGACTCCATCGACTGATTAAATGACTACACAACTAAAGGTCTACAGCTACAGTTGTTTGCATGTATTAGCATTATGCATGAATAAGTACAAATGCCTAACATGTACTTTTCTAGACAGCTATAGTATCTATAAGTGTCCACTTTCTGTTAGGGTGTGAGTTAACCCGTGGCCAGTTGTAGATTAAGTGATAGAACACTTTCTCCTGAGTCACGCTGCTTTGGAAGCAGCAGCCGGAAGTACATCTGAACCTAATGACCCAACTAAACAGTAACGTGGTGAATTATGAAACTGAATTTTAGAGACAAACATTGACAGAATTCCACACATGTGCTCTCAAAGTCTTTCCTGTTTGTCTAAGCGTCTGCAAAAACACTTACTTAGCAAAATGAGACTTGTGAATGTGAATGCACTGGACACATACACATAATATAGCACAACACAGCTAGGCTATAGTAACAGAAAGTCTGCATTGTTTTTAAAAAGAAGCGTAACGTGAGACGTGCATTGCAAGATAAAGTGTTTTTCTTAGAAGCCAGAGCTAAGAATGAGACGTGTAAACCAGATAGGCCCTCCCCACTTCCTGTTTTGATGTTTTAAGCCAACCGACTAGTTGAATTATGGGAAACGTGTGGTCTGGACCATGTGACCCCTGTCATTTACATGTCAAAGTCGGATGCGTTTCTACAACTGAAAACGAGATATTGGTAAACAGCAGATTTCCACATTTCATTGAGTGAAACGGGTCCCGCCAAACCACACCAACCTTCATGCCTTCATCTGCGTTCACGCGGCTCCCCTGCAGTAGCTGAATGTGGAACGGCTCACTTATGGACCATAGAGACGACGTATTTTGCTGAAAAGGAAATATTTGAAAAATTACTTACTAATTAGTATCATGCTAAGAAAAATTGAACTCATCATATCAACAAGTTCTATTTTGTGGTAAATTCAATATAACAATAATGTGAACCAGTTATACAAACATTTATTTTTGGTGAAAATAAGTAAAGAGAAGCACAGACAATAAAAATTTAATAAATGTAAATAAAAGTGATAATTTCCCCCAATTTCAATCTATAAAAAATATTATAAATAAATAAAGTTTTAGGACACTGCATTGTTTTATTAGTTAATTTCTTTGTGACAATTTTACTATCACTATAATACTGTAACACAACTGAACTCAGCAAAAGTCTCAAGTAAGCATTAAATGAGTAAGCAAAATCTGAGAGGTTCCATTGCTGCTCTCCTCTTCATTTTCCATTAAGTGGTCAAGTTACTGCCGTTTGCTAATGATGTAAATCAGAACAAATCAGTGGTTTTATCCAATCAAAAACCAACCCAATCAGATTTTTCATAATGCGTGAACATGCCAAATAGTCTAGCCTTTTTATTTGAACAAAGGAAGCAGTCTGGTCCTTGTAGATTAGAAAAGTTTCTGGCAGCAGTTGAGAACATTCAGGTCTACAAATAAATTTAAATTAGAAAGTAGGCCGTTTATGGCAAGCGCAAAGACTGTTAAAATTAAAATAAGCTCTTTTAATAAACCTAAACAGAATGAACACACTACAAATATGTACATTTATAGAAGAATTTTGATGAATGGAATTCTATACACACTTTCATGATGGTACCACATACACACTGGTATATTCAGGGCACAAATAAACCAATGATGGCTCATACTACTATTCCCAGAAACTGACTGACGTCTTACTTTCTTAAGAGGCAGTGGAGGGGGTCTGGACACAGAGCGGCTTTTAAAAACCTGGTTGCACATTCGACCCTGCTCCTCCTGGTATTTCGTGATGGTCGAGTGGTGGACCACAGTAAGCTGAGGGTTCTGGCCATTTCTTAGACAGTTAAAGATATACTGAAAGACACAAAGAAAATGGCATAGGAGTTTATTAGAGTTTATTAGAGTCCTGTGTGACGTGTGTGATGTGGCAGCCTTGGTTAGCTCCTCCAGGCTGTTCATTTGCAGTAGCTTAATGTAGCCCTGATCTCATTATATGTCAATAAATGGAGTTCCCAGGGCACAGCTGCTGCACTGACTGATATGAGTCAGTCTTACAGGTACAAGGGGTTTCAAAATCAACATGGAAGACTCCTGCCACTAATGCCTTTATCCCACCCACTTTTGATATGACAATGATTTAAAATTACAAATGAGATGTTTTCAGAAAATGCAAATCAAAAGCTGAAAAACTATCAAATTGCATTTTTTGCTTTAGTCTTTACTCAACAACTTAATTCATGTGTGACAAAGTGGGTTACAGTTACATATTGAAACTTTTTTTCTCACAATGGGAATTTGCTGAGTTTAGAGAAATAAAAAATACCAGCAGGGGAACTGTCAAAAATAGGTTTTCACATGAGGACGTTTACAAGAAACATAAGGACATTGCATATGCATAGTAAGTACAGTAAGGTTCTCTTAAAAGGGGAAATGGAAAAGGTCTTAGTGAAGTGAATCTTATGTGGGGCACTAGGGTTCAGTTCACAGTTCACAGGTGTCAGATGAATGGATATTATCAAGAAATTTACAAAAAGGGATTTTCCTAGAATACACACTCAAAACTTCATACAAAAAATATAGTGAACCAAGGCTGCAGAGAGACAACATTAAATTAGAATTACAAAATATATGTACTATTTATGTGTTGGGCATATATGTGCATACAGAGACTCGTTTCCTCTATGGCCAGTGATTATAAGCACTGTGCATCATAATAATTGTAAAGATGATCTTAAGTAAGCAAAACATTTAATTTGGTATGAATATCATTATAGTTATGCAGTGCTCTTTACTGAATCTGCCCTTATATTTAAGTTACTAATTTAAATCTAATGTTCACCATTCATTGTTTTAACTCTTAAAGAAATATTGGTACATTGTGTCCAGACATAAAACCACAACAAATTTGGCAAGTGTCACTGACACAACCACAGACACACAGCAAAGCCCCTCGGTCACCTTAAATAAGACTATTATACAACATCACTGTCAGCTGTGTTTTAAAATGGTGTCATCTGCTATACTTGTTTTCTTTTCAACAATTTTTCAAGCTATATAATAAGAAAAGAGACAACATTTGAAAGAATGTTTTAACGTTTGTGATTATTTGAAAAAAAAGTGAATTATTAAGCGAACTTACTTTAAACTGGCAGAGAGGGTGGTCCCCGTAGATGAAGTCCCACCTGCCGTTGACCTGGAGGGTGTAGTCCCCTGGCTCCTGTCGAATTGAGCGGAAAACTGTGGCCTTTTTCTTCAGAGCACTCTTCACCAGAGACACTGGCATGTCCTGGGGATCCTGCTGCAGCATGAAGCTCTCCTGTGATTGGCAAGTTCAGGTCATTTTCATACTGGCAAAGTTTAAAGGTTAACGCTAAAGGTTAAGGTAAAAAAGGAATTTCCAGATATTTACATTGAAAACACAATTCAGATTTTTATTTCTACGGTGTAGCAGTGTTTGGGATTCCCAACCCTGCAGTAGAAAACATCGAAGGATGACCACAAATGTGTATGGGGACAACAGTACACACTTTAAGATGTTTTTTTTTTCTTGCCCGCTTTACACAAAGTCACATTTCTAAGTAAATTTAAGTAGGGAATAGCTCTTACATTCTTCAAGCACAAAAAATATAAAGTTTGAGATTTTTACAACTCAAATGATTTGGAATACGTTTGTGATGTTTTACAGTGAATGGGCATTAAACACTTTTGACCAAAATGTCACTTTGCCCCTCAGATTCAAACTCCACTAACTAATGTGCAAACACTCGGAGCTCAATCCAAAGACATGCACTCACATCTGATGACTCAAACTTTATGTTGACAAAGATTTTTTTGGTGTTTTTGATCTTGCTGTTGCTCCCTTCGTCAGGCGGGTAGCAGCAGGGCTCCAGGTCACATGGGAAACTGTACTCCATCCATTGGTGCCATGGCAACAGCTGCCGGTCCAAAGCCTTCTCCTCACAAAACGCTCGCATCTTTGTCCGAAACTCATTCACCTCATGGTTCTTCTGGGCTTCAAACTCATGCAGACCTGGGGTAATGCAGGGTAGTGTAAAAATTTTTGTTTTAAAGATACTTTTTTTTTAGAGTAAAACTTTGAAAGATGTAGATTTCTGAATGAACAGTATATGCTAAGCAGCTTGACAAAAACATTATTCTTTTGTGACCATTTGTAACTGATTGACTGTTTTGTTTTAGCCTATTTACACAATATGACAATTTGCCATTTTAACCCTTATTTAAACAGTTTTAACTTATTGCAGTGTTGCTGCAACACTAAAATTCAAATTAAATACTAAGGAAAAGGCTTGATGTCCGATAAGTATTTTGATACCACAAATGTAATCAAAAACTAATTTTTTTACACAAAACAATGGAATTGCCAGTACAACATAAAAGTGGTTTCAGTGTTATTAATATGTGGCCTTATACTTGCTCAAACAAGAACACTTGAGATCTCTGATCACTTGGGGACTCGCTTATCTAATCTTAAACTTAGTCAATTGCACAAGAAGCTTCCACTAAAAGCACAAACCCATCATAATACTTGATGCATGACTTCAATGTATGATTTAGAAGGTGCTGCTGACCTTTTCCGATTAAAAGGCTGATTTGAGCATTGGTGAGTTTCTCCACACGGTCTCCCTCTCTGGCTACTAGTCTGAGGACACACATGAAGGGGCGTACGTCACTGATGCGGCGGGACTCCTCCTCTAGCTCCTCTCGCTCAGCTGTCTGGTTAATGCAGGTGAAGACATAAGCATCAGGGTCGCCCAGAGCTGAGAACAAGGCCTCGCTTCTGGCATTCTTCCAAACCATCTGAAACACAAGGCAACTGTGAGAAAAGCATGCACTCTGCCAAACCCTGTGTTCAATGAACTCACTACAACTTTATCCACACATAAAGTGAAATCAGTCTAATATAAAACAGCAGCTTCAAGAATTACTGCTCAACACTACTAGGCACTAGCCGGTAAAAATAAATAAGAGTTTGAATGTTTATTTATTAAATATGGGACAGAGTACATTAATTAACATGTAAGTGTTAATTAATGAGTTAGCCATACATGCAAATTTTCATCTGTTGGCAGGAATAACAAGCTACACTTTATAATAACTACACTTTAATTAAGCTTAATAAAGCATGAACAATTACGTACTTCACGGTGAACAAGTATTTTCTAAAGAAAATTCAACTTTAGAAAATACTTTTAATAATTAATGGTAATGGTTAGGGTACTACAGTAAGTAGTTATTACATCTGAATTATTCTAAATAAACAATTTCTTCATTATGAATTCATGCAGTTACTCAAAGTGAAGTGAAATGTTGCTAAACAACAAATACTGATTTTAATGCAGCAAAAATAGGAGGCTGATTTGAGAAGTGATCATCTTCTGTATGAAATAATACACTTCTTTCATACATGATATTTCCAAGAAAACAATTCATGTTTAAGTTGAGTAAATGCACATTTTCAACAGTTTTCCATTTCTATACAAATGCTAATTTTTAGGTGTTTATGTCACAATCATAATTAAAAAAATAATAATCAACACAATATAAAACCATAGGAAGAGATCCGTTTTACACTTCACATCACCAAGCACTTGGGGCTATACAAGGCAAAGCAATAGCTTTCTCTCTTTAAAAGCAAAAAAATTAATTTCTATAATTTACTCCATTTGCAAAATGGGGACATCCTGGAGTAGCTCTGTCACTTTTTGGACATTTTTATACATTCCTTGTGAAAGCCTGACGACATCTAATCTCTTAATCATCTTAACAGCCTCCTCTTCGCGTATCAGCCCTTAACACAGCAAAATCAAACAGGCTGGAGCACAGAACTGTTGGCATAGAAACTAGCACTTTCAATGGCACATCCCCATCAGACAGCAGACCCATTTGGCTGCTTACAAAAAGATGCACTGAGCTCCCTTTGCTTTAAACTTTTTCACAGAAAGCAACAACCAACAATTTAATGTTTTGATATAATAAGACAGACAAAAATCATATGACAAAGGCTATATAAACATGTATTGTTTTAAATTACTTTGAGGGCTGCACCATACGGAAACAAATATTGTTATTTGAATGGTAATATTTTGGTATACTTACAAATTAACAAATGAAGGCAAAAAGAGTCCCTATATGCATTACTCTAGACTTTCAAAATAACAAATGACTAGGGATGTCAACATTATTCAGTTAATCAATCATTGTAACATTTAAGTCAAAATAAGTAAAACAAACTTTAAAATACATATTGGGAATTCAATTTTCACTACAAACGTAGACAATATGAATGAAAGTGAATTTGACAGTTCTTATAATTGCAAATAATAATAGAGTGATATTTTTACTTGAGGTAACACTACAATTTAATATTGAAACACCCCTGGCAATGTCTTCTTGATTTTACTTGTTTTTAAGACAAAATAATTTATGCTCTAATAAATAACGCAGATATTTTAAATCATGCTTATTTTCTTTTAAAACGCTGAGCTTGCTTATAGCTTCTATATTTGCTAGTATTTGTATTGCCCTACAAAGTAAGACTTTTGTCATCTTTTCAGAGCCATACTGCCTGACTACAGCAGATTCGTGACAGGGACAGTTCCTATAGCAGATGCATAGGGGATCATATAACCCATTGCCGGTGTCTGTTGTCAGTTCTATAGGATGAGGAATCACATCTGTACCTTTTTGATGGTTTTAATGGTGTCGTTCCGAGACACTGGGAATTTGAGGAAGATCCCAGTGGGCAGCAGGAAGTCCATCATGATCTTTTGGTCCCCCGCCTCCTCCTTCTCCCACTCCTCCTGCATCCCATACTTCCCTGGGGGCATGGTGACGGCTATGCATTTACCGTCAGCGCCCAAGCACCACCACTGCTGCTACTGCTGCTGCTCACTGAAACAAGAGGAAACACACGTGAGGTTAATGTGTCCAGTATTAACAGGGGTACTAGTGCAGTTTGTGTGTCTGCATGGTACCACATTGGTTTATAGTAACTTTGTGTTTTTTCTTTGTTGATATTAGGCCAATAAACTTGAGTAGCTAGAAACAAGTATTATGTCATGAGCATTGTTCACATGACGAGACATGCAAGTAGGGATGTGGCTTCCAATGTTTTGATAGCTTATGACAGAGGTTACAATATGCACTTTTTGATTACAATATTCACAAGTAAAAAGGTAGCTATAAAAGGATAACACATCTACATGGTTAAGTGAAAACAAGAGATTAAAAAAAAATGATTTGGCTCTTCAGAGATAAAGTTTAAAAGGGGCTATTCTTAAGCAGACTACAGATGGGTTTATCAAGGTCATAGCAGGTGAACATGGAGTATGATGACTAAAATAACAACAACATTTAGTTATATCCGGCTGTCTGTAACCGTATACCTCAGATATGTTGGCTATAGGCTACAGTGTCTACAGTGCAAGTTGTGTGCTGTATGTTGGGTGAATGTAGGCTATGCAGCAGCACTTGCCCAACTATTCCCCCTATGAGAGACAATAAAGTAGGCTATATATAGGCTATTGCCTTAATTAACTATCTTACAACATAGGCTACGCATAGGTTTAGTTGCACTCTATCTAGCTATGTGTTCACAGACATTGTAGGCGATTTACAAAGCAAATTAGTCCTGAATTAGTTTTGAAATTGAAACCCTGGTATATCTCTTTAAATTGATACAATAGATTTTTTGCAGGTTGTTGCAATGCGTAAAATGATGAAATTCCAGCGTCGCTCCATATCCGAAATGACAAGACGTTTCGCTGCCAACCTGTTACTGCAGACACTTGCCTGTCAGCGCCCGCCGGTCACCTTTTCTTCATGTTTTTAGTGCAGTAAAAAGATGGAGGCTGTATTTCTGTAACGTCGCAGTAGCATTCTTAATAATCCGCAGTTTGGCGCTGGTTCCCAGGTAAAAGCTCCGGTTCATACGCTGTGGCTCTCCCCGTGGCTGGTTCATGTGCGCTGCGGGCTGTCATCCATCCTCATGTGATGTTGCACTGAGGCGGACTGAGCACCACGTCCTGCCTACAGCTCTCAGAGGGCGCAGGGACCCTGCTGAAGTTCAGCTGTGACGGCTGAAAACGCCACCTACCGCCTGCTGCCTTTATAGAACGGAACATATTCGGGTAAACGCCAAGGTTGAAATTTAAACACTATTAAATATTATCCTCAGAGAAAAAGGAGTCACACACTGAAACAAAAAGAATGGGTCTAATAAAGTAAATGATTAAAGGGACGAAGATGTTATTGCTTTGCCCAGAATGTTCATTAAATCTGACTATCTTGCATTATTCAATGACACGCTTTTTATGGCTGAAAAAAATAAAAGACAGAAAGATAAACAGTTGAGGTTATTCTTTCTTCTCTCAACAGATCTGACTTATAACTTGGGCTGGTGGGGTGACATGCTTGTCACCATGGAGACAGTTTACTTTAATGTCATACTGTGGAACACTCCAGGCAAAGAAAAAAATATCTCCAAGTAGGTGGCAGATCCTCCATTTGAAAAAGTTACATAATCAGCCTTAGATACAAATTTGTTCTTAACTGAACTGAATTTAACTGAATTTCCACGACAGGAGGAATGTTACAAATTTATACAGAAGAGGTGGAGATATCAACAATGTCCAAGCACTGGAGGAACATTACATTACACATCCATCTAAAACACATTTTAGATTTACTTAGAATATTTGCCTTCAATAACTCTTTGACAAATCAGCCCCAAAATAGTTTCTCTTCTTGTAATACAGGCAGTGGTCAAGTGCAGTTCCAGGTACTGTAACTGAGCACTGCTTCTGTTTTCAGAGGAAGCAGACTTCTGCTTATGTACATAACACTTCACCAGCAAAAAGTCATTCACAACAAACCAAAGAGAAAAGATTGTTACTGTGAATGTTAAAACTGTATAAACTGTATTGTATTTTCCAAAAAAAGTGGAAGAACTCTCACAATAGTACAATAAAGAGGAAATTGCAGGGATAAATATTCACATTGTTCTTTTAAAAAAAGAGATGTTATTTGATAAACAAGGCTTGAGAGCTGTTGGTGAAAACAAAGTGATTAATAAAAAGGAAGAAGAGAAACTGAGCTGGCAACCACCCCTCGCCCAGCACAGCACAGCCACAAACAACTTGACTTTGATTCCTGATGAAGTGTGAACAAAAATCATAGATAAGTGGTAACAATAAGCTATCCAGGTACAAATGCAAATGTACTTTTTGCAAGTTATGAAATTCACAAATTGAACAAAATTATCCAAAATTAAAAAAGGAAAGTCAATTGTCAAGAATGATTATGATACAAATAATTTATTAAAATGTTTTCAGGCATCAGACAAAACAAAACATCAAGACAAATGTTGTCATTGTAATTGCAACCTTTCAAATCAAATAAACTACTATTTGATTCAGTAGGCACCACTATATGCATAAGAACTTATGTGTCCACACCCTTATTTACAATTGAACACTTGCACAAACTTTGTTCAGAAAAAGTGTAAAACACTTCATTTATACAGTACAAATGGAGAAGTAGTCACTTTATTTCAGTAGCATCTTTGATTCTTCTCAGACATGTTATTTTTGGCTCAAAAAAAGAAAAAAAAGATAGAAAATGCAAGCACACTTGAAAAAAATGCGTGCCATTCCATATTCCAAAAGTGTCTACAAGCACTACAGCTTCTGCCAAATACTTAAATTTGACATTCATTTTATCATTTATATAACACACTTAAATACAGTCAAATATATAGTTGATACATAACTTTACTTCAAAATCAATACACCAAATTATGTGAATAAGTGATACTTCAAATGTGGATGAAATGTTTGACCCACAGCTAGCCTCTACTAACATGTATTTGGATCCTAACTCTCCATATGCCTAACAAAACTGTTGGTTATAGAAACCCAATTCCATAACACATTTACTGTTTTGGCATCAAGAAAATACTGCCAAACTGATTACTCTACAAGTAGAAAAGAAAAGAAAAAGTTTTAAGAGTTAATAGAAAACAAGCTGCATAATATGGCTAGGTTTTGCTACTTTATCAGATCGTTAACCTAAAGTACAATCAGTGTCGGTAATTAAGACAATCGCGTCAATGGCAGCATGAAAAAAACAGTACTTTGTCATTGCACATTTCACAGCATGTTTTAAAAGCCACAATAGTAGTGTCTAAAGTAAATGTGCATGCAACTTAGGCCTTGGAAAAGGAGAAGCCTTTTCAATCCTAAATCAAATATGACCTAATGGAGCACATACACAACATCATCAGACCCAGCCTTCTAAGGACCACTCACTGCATTTAGGTCATTGCAGCAGCAGAAGCAGTAGTTGAAGTTCATCTCCAGTTACTGTACACATAAATGGAGCCAAACACTAAGTTAGCGCTAAGGCTGGCTAGTAACAGTCCTGGCCAAATGACATGCCTCCAAACACCTAGGCAGAAAAAAAAAAGAGATGACGTTATAATGTTCAAACATCATGACATAAACATAGTCATATCCAATTAAAGTTATTGTACAGATAGTAGCCTTACAGTGGCTGCAGTTGCATACACACTTAAAATCAGATTATTGACAGATTTTTGGAGCTATATGATTAAAATAACATGTAAACTGCAGATTCATCTGATTTCTTTTTGATAGTAGTCCCTAGTAATTACTTACATCAGATTTGGTAAGTAAGATTTTTAATGTGCATCTAAACATAGTCAAGGTTGCGTTTTATTTTAGTTTACAACTTTTTGTCTATTAATTACTCAAAATTATCTAACCATTTAACAGTATTTTTTGATTGCATGCATTTTAATCTGCTGCTATTCTAGACATTTTTGTGGGATAAATAAAAGGTACTCTTATCATTCTTTTCAATAGAGCACCACTATTCTGGATTGCCTTGTATAGGTGGCATAGGCAAGTGGTAAGACTAATTTAACTGAAAGAGCAATTCTTAATTTCTCATTTTAAAACTGCAATAGACTCACTTTTTGCTGTAGAACTCGTGTCTGGCCCTTGCGTTGTAGTGTCGACCAAACAGGCAGAGGAATCAGAAGAGCTTCCTTTCTTCTCCTCCTCTATTATGCTGCCATCTCGGATAAATGAAAAATCTGCACAAAAACCAAGAACTTAATTATCATAAAGAAGAGCTTTGTGAGCGTAGCTTAGAGCTATGTTTTTATCATTTTATACAGCAGATTGACAAGTTATTCAGATTTAATGGCCCTCAAATGGCCCCACCTAGTGGTAGATGTGTTACATTAACTAGCATTACGTATAAATTAATATCCACGTTTCAGAATGATGAAAAATTCAGACCATTCACATCATGAAAACAAAACAACAAAATATGTTTTAACAGTTAAGTCTTCAAAATGTCACCTATAACAGGAAGCTGAAACCCATGAATAGGGGAAACACTGACCATTTTGACTGTGCAGGGGGAATATGTCTGAAGAAAAGCAGGTGTTATAGACTGAAGATGCTGGCTCATGACCCAGGTGTGAGGGGGACACAGGCGGGGACACAGGCGGGGTTCTGAGGGTCGACTCCTTCTCAGTGGAAAAAAGTCTCAGTTTCTGACCGCTAATGTTGAGCCGAGCTGGGCTGATGAGGGGTCTACGGAACCGGGCTGACCCAGAGCTGGAGGTGACAGACCCAGCCACAGAGGGGGTCGGGGAGGGACCAGGGGACGAGGGCCGGCTTCCAGATTTGAGCGAAAAATAATCTGTATAGACAATGAATGGTATTAATATACAGACATTTTTTAAAGATAGCAAGTAAATTATATAATATACACATATACGTATATACATATATATACATACACATACATATACACACACACCTGAAGATTGGGAGTCCTTGTAAACAGATGTTGGCCTGCTTCCACTGAACAGATAACCCGAATCTGAAAAATCACAACATTTTAAGTATCCCTTATTTTAATTTTAATAATAAGCTTATAACATCCATTGTCTACACATTGTGGTACTAAATTTGGCAATCAAATGTCCCCAGAGGTAATTAAACACTAGCTGATCAAAACAAAACTAGAAGAAAAAAGACAAATTACCAGTACGTGTGAGGGTTGGAATAGTCCCAAGTCTGAGTGCTCTGTTGAGGCGTCCCGGGAGTGATGTGGGGGAGGCCTTGCGCTCCTGTGGACTCTGTTGCTTTATGAGTTTGCAAAGATTGGGTGGAGGAGACAGAACAATGGAGTCTGTCAGGTCAGAAACAGACAACGGAGGCTGGAAACCACTGGAAAAATGTCTGCAAAACAAAATGCAAAGAGTCTACAATATGTCTTTATTATTTAAAGTTATCCTTTTCTTTATATGCAAATACTTTAGGCATTTGTGTAGATACAGGGATGAGTTCAGCAGAAAAAACATGGCAAGTATGTCGCAAACTGTAGAACAGTGTGGAAAGACATGGCAGCATCTGACATTTGGCTGCTGCAGTTGTCATTTATTTGGCAGCTGCACACAAAAGCTTCAAGCAAAAGACAGTTTGAGCTTTCAATCTCCATGCCTGCATAGGCTTGTAAAGTGTACATTTAATAATATATAAAAGAGGTTACAACCCCTGCAACATTGTTTGACAAGTACAGAAAAAATTACCAGAGAAGAAAAAATGCATTTTTCTACACGTTTATTATGAATATTTGTTTACATAAAACAATGTTAAATTCAAAGAGGAAAGTCCAAACCATTATTCCTTCATTACTAAAGTAATTTAGTACATTGTACATAAAGAATTGTTGGTTAAAGCTATTTAAACTTTGAATACTAAACGCTGATTAAATACTGTAAATTGTAGTGTCATAATCCTTGCAGACGCAAATACCAAAGTGATAACTTCCTAAATACCTCAACTTGTTCTATACTATGGCACTATCACATTTAAAAAGGTTACTCACATATAAAAGGAGGTTAATACATTCAGCAATAGGTAGTTAAAATTTGTGGCACCAATACATACCATAATGTTTATGCTAGCATACAGCTAATGTTTATCTAGCTCTTAGCTAGATTCTAGCTTATTAATTATCATACAGACGATTACTTTAACATAAAAATCACAGCATAACAACGTTGGCAACGACAAAACAAACAATGCCATTTTTGTCAAGTTCCAAGATGCAGTTTGTCACGTAGAAACATTTTCGAATGAATTTTATTGAAAACAATCAACTACTTAATTTTACCAGACTAGAATAATCAGAATCTTTGCATTTTTTTTGTCTTAAACAACTGGACAAACTGCACCAACACACTTCCACAAAAAACAACTCCATTTACAGGAGGACACACAGTACTTTGTGAAAATACAGTAGGTATAAAAATGAATCAATTTCACATAACTATCAAACAGTCTTCACCACCCTTAAAGAAAAGGTTAGTGGGCGCATGCAAGACATTAGTAGTGAGCTGGGCACAATATTAGTCAGGAAGTCAAATTTTTCAGTACAGTTTAATCAAGAGAAGATCAAAATGGCCAACCAAAGTTAGTTCTGTCTATACCAAAACAGTAGCCCTACAAGATGACAAACTAAGTTAGTCTCTGGTCATAACATTCACAACAGGTTAATTTGGAAATCATCAATTTCATGCTGTCAAAAAATAATGTTAAAATGAGCATGTGAAGTGTTTGGCAAAAAAACCTCTTAAACTAGTTAAAAGGTAAAATTATTAAAACCTGATGTAATCACCATACTGTTGGAGATTCCAAATAGTAACACACAATAACTGGACAAGTTTCTCAGATTTGCCTCAAGCTATGAATGAGTCTAACATGATTATATCATGATGTAATGTAAAGAAGAAAGTCTTGGATCACCTCAGCTCTCAGAGCTGTCACACAGGTGTGGCACTTTCAGTACTAATGTAGCTTTTGCAAAGTATATATATACAGATGTGATATCCAATAGCCACTAACCCAAAGTCACCTGTGAAACCCATTAGTGCTCAGATTCTGACCTTCGGTATCTGCCTCTTCTTGAAACCAGCGGTTTGCGAGTGGCCACAGCAGCACCAAAGCTGACCAGACAACAGGTGGACATGGCGCAGACCTTGGCTGTATCTGTCCAGTCTGAGACACCAGGCCTGAAACCTTCAGCCATGTGAAGACAAAGGATCAGAAACCACAAAACTGACGCCACCGCATCAATTCTCCTCAACCTGAAAAGAAATACACAGGTCATCTAAGAGAGGTAAGTTCTTCTCATGTGTTTTGTCTAGAAAAAAAATCTTACCTTGTGGGTCCTGCTAGGAAAATACCGGTGAGACAAGTCAACAAGCCAAGAGACGCTACAGCCATCTGACTGTCTTTCCCATACTGCAACACTGCCTTGGACTTTTCAATGGTCTGTTCTGGGAGCAGCTGAAGAATGCCTTGCCAAACGTGCACAGTGCTTTGATTTTTAGAAGCAGATTCGTTGAGAGCAGACTGTGGAGGACTGACACTGGGTGAGGTGGACGGGTCGGCCAAATCAACATAACAGGATGCAAACAAAAAAACACAATAAGAAAGGCCAGGACTCGCAGAAGGATTACTGCTGTAGGACATGATGCACTATAAGGGCTCTATAAAAAGAAAAGAGAGAAATAATTAATACTATAGATTTGTTATTAAAATTACACTTGATTTAACTTGATTTTTACAAAGACCTTTATAAAACCCTTGTCCGTGTCACGACTGCGTCGAAGCTGATGGTTCAGCAACACAGACCTAAGTTGACGATTTTGATATTTAATGTAGTACTCCACAGCAGCTTGACATGGCCTACACAGCTTGTATGTCTGTTCAAGATGATGTTTGTAGGCTTCAATCTCTTCATCATAATTTTCCTATTACATAAAATAAAACAAACTTTAAAACATAATCCATACACTTCATCTAAATTAACAGTAAGAGACCAGGTCATACATCATCTCTTGGTATAAATGACGCTAGTTGCTTAATCTTTGATGTTTGGTTATTATTGCACTTTCTGCACAGCAGCATCTGACAGTTCACCCACTGCAGGGTTTTTGGAGGATCTGGAGATGGATGGCTCCCAGAAACACCATGGTTCAGGTGCTCCATGTACTGGGCAGGGATAGGTTTGTTGTAATCTCCATTCTAAAAAAAAATAAATAAGTTGTTCTCCAAAACAAATGAAAGTGAACACTTAAATATGAAATGTACCTCCTGAAAGCCATTATACTGATCACAGTTCGGACAGTCCCAGCAATTCCTGTTCCCATAGGGCACCACAGTGTTCTGATTACAGAACCAGCAGTTCACACTGGCATGGGACGGTTTCTTTCTGTGAAGACAGAAGGGTTGTGGAAAAAAATTATCGCAGGTAAATAATAAAAGTGTAAGTATTATATAGCCTTACAACTTTACATAAGCCTATATAGGTCGCAAGAAGGTTACAACTTTAGGTCACTGACTACAATGGTGCTGTAGAGGTAATTGATGGCGTTTAGCATCGAGGCTAGCACAAGAAATACAATACAAAGCTATAATAGATTGCACATATGCATTATTAATTTGTAAATTGACACATGATCCTTTAGAGGATGGAACACTATAATCATCGGACAACTTATTAAATCACTCCCACAAACATAGTAAAAAGCTACTGCAACGAGTCCTGTGAAGTTACCTGGAGGACAGTTTGTAGATGAGCGCCCCTCCAGCCACCACTGCTGTGGCGCCCATCCCACTGAACATTAACTCCGGATACTCCACCAGAAGCTGATTTAACGCCTCCATATCAAAAGCAAACACACTCGATTTAGTAAACTGCAAAAGTGTGGTGATACAGACGCTAATCAGCGCGAGCGCGCACGCGGCAAAATGAGCTCTTCTTTGTTCCGCCCCACACTCGGAAACGGAAACACGTCACCGTTTTCCTTGACAACGGAGCCCTCGTGAACCCGCCGCATGGCCTCGTGTGGTCATGTCACTTTTTTTTTTTTTTTGCATGTTTACTCAAAGCACAATTACTATATCAAGGTAATGTATTATTCATTAGAATTGACGTTTTGAGATGCACTTAAGCGTTATATTTACTGTTAATGAAACAACTTACGCAAGCACTCACTGCGCTCAAAATAATAAATGTGCACTCAAATAAGAATCCCAAACTTTTTAGCTAACAATTTGCATTTGAATGTTAACTTAAAGCTACACATTGTTGGTCTGTGTTTATCAATGGCATGCGTTTAAAGTCTAAAAGGAAGAGTTTAGCTCAAATTAAAAAAAAACTTTTATTTCAACAGTGATAATACGAATAACAATTTACTTGAGGTAAACATTAATTCACTAACTTCTAGTGCTTTAGTATGGTCGAAGTATTGCATAGCAGCTCTAGAAATGGGAATAACAAAAACATTGAAATAATAAATTACTTTGCAAAACCAGTAGGCTACGAATGCAAGAATAAATGAAATACAATTGAATTTCTTTTTTTTAAACTTAATTATGGTGATTGTATTTTCTGAGACGAGTCTTAACTGTGTCACATGAACACAAAACAAATAGTGAACAAATTTCATAAACACATTTTTTTAACCAGTCAACTGTGGCCTACATTACAACAGTCTCTGAACAAAAGGCTATAGTCCATGGGCTTATTTTACTTGTAAAGTGGCGCATCTGGGTAAGCGGGGAAAGATGTGAACTGATGGTAGCTGCATGCAACGGAGACGCTGGCTGCCTCTGGGCTTGCGGGCTGCGTCACTCCGCCATAAGGACAACTGCTGTGGTGCACCAGGGCGACTGGGTGGTGCTTAAAGGTCCCGTAGTTCGCGTGGTGCCACTGGGGCGAGGGGCAGAAAGAGTTGAGCGCTCCGCTGGTGGTTAGACTGGGTGATGTTTGGTACCCGGGCGTCTGGCTCCAGTGACTACTCACGCAAGAGTGCAGGTACCGCGGATCGTAGTCCACTGTGGTCCCAGGCAGGTATGGCACTCCAGGGTTGAAGTAGGGTCTCCTCACTCTGCGCCTCCGTCTATAGTTTCCTTTCTCAAACATGTCTTCAAACGCGGGGTCCAGCATCCAGTAATGTCCCTTCTTATCCCGAGCGTTCTCTCTCGGGACCTTTACAAAGCACTCATTCAGAGACAAGTTGTGCCTGATGCTGTTCTGCCATCCCTTCTTGTTCTTTTCGTAGTAGGGGAACCGGCACGAGATGTAGTCGTAAATCTCACTCAGAGTCATTCTCCTTTCTCGACTGTCCTTTATGGCCATGGTGATGAGAGCCACGTAGGAGTAGGGCGGCTTCTTCAGCGCACCCGGGTCCTCCTCTGAACCGCTGGGCTCCTCCGGGGGCGAGTTGGAGCTGATGTCCAAAAGTTGCGCTCCCTCCTCGGCTGGGCACTTCTCCATCGCGTTCTTGGCTAAGGTGCGTAATTCACGGTGCCTCTGTGTCAATGAAGTCAGTATCTGCAGGTGCACACTCCTCCCACAAACACCGTGCGCTTTGAACTTTGATGTCCTCCAGTTTCTCACACTTTTTCGCTACAAGTATCAGGTTGAAGATGAGGATAACGGACTGGGAATGCAATGTTATCAAATATTCCCTTACAATCAAAGATCCATCTCCAAGTGCGCCCGTTTCAAGTCCAAGTTGTATTGAGCACACCTGGCTATATTTACCAACACACGTCTAACGCTGCCAACTTCAGAGCAGAGAGACTTTTTATCTCTGCTTTTTCATTAAACTTAAAATGAAAAAATGAATAGGTTACCAGAAACATGTTTAAATATATTGCTGGTATTAAGATTAATTTTTAATGAGATATAGAACTGACATTATTAGTGTGCATGCATATGAACACACTATTTCCAATATTGTTCAATTAAACAAGGTATAATGCACAATAACATATAAATCATTTGTGTGCTTTTTGTTACAGCTGGAACATGGTGATGGTGTCAAAACACAAGTGATGAGTGGGGGTTTCCAGTGCCCACAGGCGAGTGGAGTATTGAAGCTTACAGATATCACAGCTCATGCCACCCACATACAGAAAAACCACCAACAGCAGTGAGCTCTGTCCACTGAGCAGCTAGATAATGATCACCTGAACTCACCAGACAGCCTGTCTCCTCTGAGCTGACAGGGACACATTGCAACATTGGAGATACATGTGGAACAAATGAGGCACGATCTGATATAGATTTACACAAATACTAATATTTTTAGGTGACAATGATGTCTTGTACATAGGGTTCATTTGGAATAAATTACAGAAAAAGTTAAGGTGACTGAACAAGTTTGCTTTAAATAGTCCACAGCCCTTCACAAACCGGGCACACAACTCACCAGTCAAACTTTTATGGCTGAAGACATGACTCCTATTGGCTGCCAGGCGTATCACTTCATATCACTCTGTGTCCCCATTGGACGACTTAACATTTTTTAGGTATTTATGCACAGTTCACTCAGCACAAAAATATTAAGTTAATCCGGGAAATGCATAGTGAGGAATTAAAAAGACAATATTGATGTTGGAGTTGTTTCAGTAAGAAACTTACAGTCTTGCGTAATGACAAACACAGTTGATGGCTGCCATTATCTCTTTCTCAGTTCAGGTTTGAAAGATTGATATCTTACATCTGATCATGTTTGCCATATGAACAATACTTGTGTTTTTGCAATTCTAAATTATTATGTATCAAAATCATTAATTAAATTGTCTTGGTCTTTATTTTTATTTTACTGTTTACAGTAAAATAAGTAAAGTGTTTCTTATTTACAATAATACGCTAAACAAAGTAAAATGGGTTCACTGTAAGACTAAATTTAACCACTGACCAAGTAAGAAAAGAGGACAATGACATACGCAAAACATATACACGACATATCTAAAAATGGGATAAAAATAAACAAACCAAAAAAATTACACATATAGATAAAGAACTAAAACTCTTCACGTTCAAGGTGTGGTAAAGTTCCCTGTTATTGTCATAATGCCATTGACCCATGATGTGTATTTCACAGTTCATCCAAGTGCTGTCAACACTTCTGAACAGCCCTTGCCAGTTCCTCTCAGGTAAACGCTCCCACAACACCTACCTCTTCCTCCACAAACATTTCCAAGCTTATTATTATCATTATGCTTATTTCATTATTGTGTGAGCTGACAAGAATCTAATCCTGACACTAATAACAAGCAGCAGCACATACTAATAAATCATGGAAAGGAAATGAAAGACACAACAAAAATATCAAACGTTTAAAATGTTAACAAGCCCCTCTTTTTGTTTTAAAAGTAAAATATTTGTATTATTTCTATTTGCCTTCATAACATTTTTGAATGCTAGACAAAGTGAGTAAGAGTAACTTCCTGATTGACTTGATGTTGCCACAGGTGTCCTTGCAGTTAAAGCGTCATGCATTGGTTTTTCTGTGGTATGCTCTTGACTTTTAGCACAGAGCTGGCACCATGGGCTGATGGTGCAGAGATAACAGTGAGGCTTTGACACATCGATGACAAATTATATTCATAAAAATTTCTTGGGACAAAACTACCCACATGAGTTTTTATTGTAGCAAAACAGATTCCAGTGGATGGTCTTAAATATTAGTTGCCAAAATAATGTTGTTGATGTTGCTGTTTTGTGATTATAGTCTAATTTTGTGATTTGGAAATTGTAATTGTAATTGTTGGCTTGCGTTTAACTTCTAGGATTACTTCAGAAGTTTGTTGTGACATGCTTTGCACAGTGAATCTTTTTGTTACATGTGTGCATTGAAATTCAAAGTTTTCACATGCAGGCAGATGTGGTACAAATGAGCTTCATATAGTAGTTATTTATACTTAAAGGTGCACTATGTAACTTTTCTGGTGGTTTGCCTACATTTTATGTCTCCATGACAATGTATTTGCTTTGCTTGGAATGAGTAACAGTATGGCATTATTTTCATGTAGGCTTAAGTCAACATGCAGATTTTCAGCGTCTATGGTCTCCTAATTTCATGTGCAGTTCCAACACCACATTTAATGCACGTCTGCGCCATTTAGTTGTTACATCCTAGTGGTCATTGAAGATAAGGGTTAGGGTTAGCGTTATATGTCCATTATTTTATGAGCACAAAGAGGAAAAAATGCTATATACATACAACTGACACAATTTAATGTTCCGCTGACTCCAGCGCTTCTACATAGTTAAACAGGCCTAACAAGATTTAGAATTAATTTTTTTTACAGTAGTACCCCATCCTGTCAGAAGAGGTCAGCAAAAGTCAGTTAGCATTGCACACCCACACTTGCCCAAACTTTGGGGCTCCAATGCTTACTACATGGACTTGCATTCATTTCCTGGAGACTGACCCTAACCTTAATCATAGAAACTACCAGTTTAACCTTAACCAGGCCATAACCTATGTTGACCTATATCTGAACTTGATGTTATTTATCTAATAATAGTATAAAGGATTTACGTGGGGAACATGGGGACCTGCTGGTCTTTGTTCCCTTAATTGAGGCATTGAGGCAGGTCCCCATTAATTGTGTATACAAATGAGTCCATACAATCTGATAAATACGTGTCCAGAAAAGCAAACGTGTATTCAATTCAATATGTGTTGTGCACAATAAGTAATTCATAATTCAACTTTTGTCATAAGAGTAAACTTTGGCTTTGATTTTTACTGTCTATCGTTATTGTTTGGAGCCTATAGGTCAGCTGCTTACTTTAATTCCCAGAGTCTGCTCTTTAATGGATTTTTACCTGGTACGTTGTTTTAGAGTGGTGTGACAGGGTGCGCTTTCTACATTTCAGAATTCTGAATAAATCAATTAACTAGGCACCTTGCTTTAAATTGCTGAAAATGGACAGCCAAAATGATGTTGTGACATTATGATGTGTTAATTAATTGTGTATTAAAGAAAACATTATCTGATAAAACAGAAAACCTGGACAGAGGCAACACACATAGTTAGATGGTTGTGTTAACTTTTTTAATTTTAAAGATGTTTTAAGAAGTCTGAATCTTACTTAAAAAGTCCATTATCTTTTTTACAGAAAATAATGCTTAGTTATTTAGGCCTGTTATTAAAACTGACAACCGCAACCATAACCATCAGTGACAGAAGAGGGCAGCAGTGGAACACTCCTAAAGAGTGGGCATACTTTCTTCTCTACAGTTAATTGTTAAATGTAGACAAGTAATATAAGTAATATCTTTTGACAAAAATAATATGTTAATGATAATAATTTCTTATTGAGTTGTACAAACAGCAATAGCCATTTTATTTTATTTACATAATAATTAGTAAGTTTTTTATCTGTTAACCAATGCTATTTTTGCTATTTTTCGTAGCTATAACTGTGTAAAATTGTGTTAACTTTAATTATTATTACAAATTCATGTCTTTAAGTTGAACTGCAGTGTTCTCATGAAATGCAAACTTGTCATTGAATGAACTGCGTGACCCTATAGATGTTATCCATTATAAGCTGCAATCACAATGCATGACTGCAGACAAAAACAGGATGATCATATATGTTAATGCCCGGTGGGGTGTGCCTCATAACCTAAAGCAGAGGGGCCCTGTCTCCACTGAAACAAAAGTTAGAGAAATGTTTGTCCCATTACAAGGAGTCTGGGTTGAAAACAAGCTTCATGCCTGAAAAATGCTTTATGTTCCACCCCATGGTGACCGCATAGTTGATGCTGATTGACTTGGTAAACAACATCCATTTGAACAGAGTTTCTTTACCCTGACATGTCCTTTTGCAGATAACTTTGAAGTGAAAGACAAAAAGAGGAAAATGTATCCCTGGGGCTTTTGGTATTCCAGTCAAAAACAACACTTCATCAGGGGCACCATTCAAAAGGCTGATCACCAATATATAGGCCACATTCAAATGAGAAGCATTGTTCAGCTAAAAAGCCAAAGAGATTTGTCTCATCCGTGGCCCCCTTCCTATTTTTTACCATCCACTCATGAGTGACTTTGATGTGGAGAAGATGATCGCAAGACAAAACGCACTAGCTCGGGTCTAATCCGGTGTGGCAGAGGCTTGAATGGACAAGTGTGAAGATGAGGAGGCCACGAATAGCATCAAGTTTCATACAAGAAGTCAAGGAGATCACGTATGAACTAGTGTATCAATCTGACATGGTTTGGAGGGGGACTTGGGTGCATGAGGAGGAGTTACAGAGCAGTTAAAGCGAGCCGGCTGTGAGAAAAGCAGCCCTAGTTGATCACTCTTTAGAAAGCATACCCCTCCCTCCTGCTGCGTCCTGCTCAGCCCTTGTCTTGCCCTTTACAATACTAGACCACTGTCCCTCCTCCCTCCCTCCACCACTCCACAAACTCATACAGAGACCCCCGGCCGCCCTCCCATGTGCTGCAGCCGCGCTCACAGCCTGGACCCAGGACCCCGGCATATGGAGGACAGAGCAGAGGGGCTGCCCCGCCATGTGCTCCACAGCTGGGGAGCTGCTAGAGTGGGCAAGTAGGTCCCATACTGCCACATGGTTGCCCGAGGGGGTGTACAGAATTAGGGGAAATCATCCAAAGTATTAGGAAAGAATAGAGTATGTTTTTATTTCACACATCCCTCCACTCTGCTCCACCGGCTCCTTGTCTGCTAACACTTGGCCTTATAACAAAATAACACATTTTGATTGATTGAGATCAGTGATGCGCAAGTACGGGCGTATGGATCACAACCAGTGGCTGTCTCACATACAGTAAATCTTCTAAATTTTTACCACTTATTATGCAACTAAATCAGTTAAGAAGCCATGTCTATATATTACAACTTTGCAAGTAGAGATTACATTGGACATACAGTATTCAATAATTGGCACGGTGGTCAGTGTTAGAGCACCAAATGTATTACCCAATGACATTGCTTTATATTGTGTCTCATTGTTGAATTTTGATCACTGCCAATGGCAATAAAACATACTCTGATTCAGATTTTAATGGAATCATATTTTTTGGATTGCTTACTCACTGTAAAGAAATGTTTATGACTCTAGAATCCTAATTACTTCCATATTGCTTCACTTACATAATAATTTTATCTTGCTTGCTGACAGATGAGTTGAATAAGCTGTCTAATACTTGACAGTAATGCAATATTTTCTTGAGAAAGTTAATGCCAAATGGACCATGCAAAGTCACTTCATTTACAGAATATAAACATTAAAGCAAGACTTGTGTAGCTGTGCTCCTGTCTTGTGTAAGAGAGAGAAAGTTCAATTCAACATGAACTAATGTTGACTCTCGACACAAATATGAGGCCATTCTGATGCTAATTGCAGTTTTAACCACCTACTTAACCACCCAGCCCTGGCCCTCTATACAAGCCCACTCAGCCTCATCCTGGTCCCTGTTTGTGAAGGAGAGAGGGAGGGAGGAATGGAGAGAAGGAGAGAGTTAAGGAGGGATAGACAGAGGGAGAGACAGGGAGGGATAGACAGAAGGAGATGGAGAAAGCATACAAAATAATGAGTGGATGAGTGGTCTGAGGAAGCACTGCTGAAACAAATCACTTTTCAGTTGCTTGCCCTTAAAAATAGAAAAGTTAACAGGAATTGTGAAAATATATCAATACAAATATCCTAGACTGTGCTGTTAACTGGATTTGTCAACATCTTAATTTTTGACACATCAGCGAGTAATTGAAACTTAGAAAGATTGTTTATTGATTGGATGAATTAATATTATCATATAAAATTGGGCTTGTCTGTGTGCATGCAGCAAATTCATTTGGCAAATTGTTTTCTATGAGATCACTTGAGCTGTGAAGGTTTGAGAAATGTAAGTTAAGAATCTAATTGACTTGAAGTAAGAATGAGATATTCGGCATAAGAAGGGGTCCACTAGTGATGGGTGGATCAGTACCAAAATATCAATACACTGATTAAAAATATTGAAAAAAAATATTAATGGTCATGCAAAAATATGTTAAAATGTCAAATTATCTAATTTTCAAATGCATTTTTAATTTTAGTATCTGCACAAATATTTGTTAGATCAGTTCAAGTGGAGTGGCGCAAAGATAACAATATTGCGCTTTCTGCGGCAAGGTAAAATTCTTTATAGTAGGGGATTTACAAGTATTTAACTCAAAAAACATCAATATTGATATCAGATTGATATTGCAATACTTGCAAAAGTATTAGCCTAATTTGTATAGGATTGAAACAAAAATGTTGAATAAATAATAAAACAACCAGTGTTTATTTGTCAGAATCGCCTGTGGTGCTTGTTTGGACTGTCAGCTGTGTGTTTGTGAAGACAGGGGTCAGTAGTTAGCACTGTGACCCTCCTAATACCAGGAAGATGCTTGCTGCTCGGCTTGGCATGACACAACAGCGCAGCAGTGAGAACAGGTGGTCATTAAAAGTGTTGTAATCCGCTTCATGAATAGCTCATGTGCAGGAGGACAGAGGGATGTGGAGATCAGGAGAAATAAGCAAAGAAATGAGAAGAGAGGTGAAAGTGCCGTGGGTGCTCCTCTGGGTAGCTCCAATGAAAAAGTAAAGATTAAAATCAGTTTTGCAATTTACTTGGAAGAATTATTAATACTGTTACTGATATAATTATAATTTTATTGAATAAAAAAATTATTTTAATATATATTAAAATCACACATACCTTCAGTCACTGTTGCACTATAACACTACTCACAATATACCATATATGATAAAAAGTATACAGCCCAATTAAAACTTTGATTATTTATTAATATTAATATTTTGTGTACATGATCAGAATTAGAATATTTGTTTATATTAAGAAGAAAGTATAAAAAATAGGTATAAATGTATCCATGTAATCCAAGGCACTGACCAAACCAAATTCACCATATTTCTTGATGTAAATAATGTTCTTTTTCCTCAGTAGAATGCCCTAAAATACAATTTAAAGCTGTGCTTTTAAAATGTGTCACTTTCACTTCTGGATAAAAAAATTTAAAAAGACAGAAAAACAGATTTTCAAATGCCAAAATTGGGAGCTATAGGTGCTGTCTGCAGCCGTGCCCCAGAAGAGCGGATGTGTTAACAGTTTCAGGCTCAATGGAGGGAGAAATCCTCACAAAGGGAGGTGTACAAATATTGTGGGAAATCCGTGCGCTCTTTAATATTTCATGAAGGGCCGCAATCTATTCATGGGACCTCATTCCTTTGGAGGGGCCCATATTCAGTCTCACTCTGCAGGCTCAATGGGCAGCTCTTAATTGAGTGCCCGGGCTTTCTTCGTCTCCCTGGCAGATTGTTCACCACTCAAAGCCACAGCCTCTCCTTCGTCCTCCGCCTCTCCTTTCTCCGCCTCTCCTCTGTGAGTGCTGGGCATGCCTTGCTGGTGGTGCATGCGGGAGGGTAAGAAAAAAGGAGTTGAGTTTAGGAGGGGTGAGCAGTTGTGGATCAAATATGATAATAGGGCAAGAGGGGTAGTAGTTTGGAACAAGTGGGGGCAGGGGGCTAATCTGTGGGGTAGTGGAAGAGAGAGGGGAGTATGATGTCTATAAGTATGGAGAACTACAGTATTTATGGATGGGCGGATACATATGTAAAACTGGTTTGTAAATTTACACTATATGTTGAATAAGTTAACATGTCGTAATATAGAAGCTGTATGTCTTGGGAGAAATCTGCCATAGTTTGCCCTCTATTGGTGAACTTCTGAACTAACAGGGCCACAAATGCAGTGAAAACATGGTTTTACTTTATGTTTTAATCAACCTAATTATGATCTAAAACACTTTTTGTCTGTTTCTTTTTGTATCTTTGCAAACTGAATCCCCCACTAGCTTAAAAAGACACATTATATTTGTATACAAAACTTTCACTTGACTGTCAATTCTTTAGGAAGAGCTTTGGCTCCTTCTTGGTGGAATATGAAGCTGAAATTCCTCTAATACTGTTTTGTAAAACTGAAATTGAGACCGGTGACCAAGCAAGTTCTTGTGGCATACTGAGATGGACAAAGACCAGCTAAGACCAGTTCAGTCCAAAAGGATGAAGATTTCAGGAGCACCATAAATGTTCACTCCATGCTAGCACTCAGCTTCATCCTTCCAAGCCCCCCTGTGTGCCTGTCCGTGCTGCAGGAGGAGAGCCAGCTGGTGGGTGACCCATGGACCTGGTCTCCTGTGGGCTCCAGAATCATCCAGACCTATGATCCCATATTAAAGGTCATCCAGTCCCTTCTAAGGGCCTGTAATACCCTGGGACCTGCACTGGCTCCCTTCAGCGCCTGATGTGTGTCCAACAGGCTTATGCAGGCTGGAGGAGGCCTGCCGAGAGGAGTCCTGGAGAGAAGAAAAGTGCGCTGAGATTTAGCCACACGGGGATGGAGGAGTGAGGTGGAGTCACGGTCCCCGTGAAGGAGCAGGGCAGAGCATGCTAAATGGATTCACAGAGGAAGAGATTTAGGGCTTTGATAGGCCTTGGTGTGTTCCGGACGGCCAAACCTCTCTGCTTTGAAGGATTGTTCTGAGGCTCATTTCTGGATTATCTCCCTGATTGTGTTAATGTATCTTGGAGGTGACTCCATGCTGCACTGGTTTTCTGAGGGTTTTGTAGCAAGACATTTGGTTCTCTATAGCACCTGTGGTTCAGCTAAAGTCTACTTCATTTACTGACCAAGATTAAAGCCTTTGAGACCAACTTTGAACAGGTGTAAAACCAGTCTCAAAATGAAAGAGTCGAAAAACTAATTTGTTTTAAATTATACATAGTTGGCAGAAATACCAATTCCTTTTTAAAATGAAATGTAATGTTTCAGGAAAACACTGGGCAGTACATGTTAAAAGCATTTACCAAACCAGATCTATAGTTTTTCTCTTCATTTACTTGAACATCTGTTCCTTGTTGTTGGCCAATACTTGCATATCTTAAGAAATGTATATTGAGGCAATAGAGTTTACACATACAGTGCATGTATTAGAGTACTATTAAAACTGGAGTGGTGCAAGTTTATGGAACTAATATCAGAACAATGATGTGGTTTGTTTGCTCAAATAAATACATGTTTGTCATATATTTGTGTCGTAAACCATTTTTTCTTGCTTCAAAATATTCTGTATTATGTTTTATTCTTGTTGAGCAGTGCATTAGAGAACTGTCCTTCTAAGATGAGTTCTTTCATTCTAAGAAATACAATTTATTGACCCTTCTGCACTGTATTGATTTCAAAGGTGGAGATTTTCTTGCACAATGCTTCTCTGTGCATCAACATAGCACAAACTTTGCTTCATCATCATGGTTCAAAAACTTTGTATGTTGCACTTTGCTGGTTAACAAGTGCAGATGATTAAATTCACTGACCTAATCCTCGGCGGCCCATGGCTTTAGGAGGAAGTGATTGAGGACCAGTCTAATCCAGCCCTATCCGGATATGGGACACTCTGTCGGGCCTTTGTATCGGCAGGTATTAACACCACAAGTGCCGCCTCAGACCGAGATGGGCACTTGATTGGGCAAGCAACTGGGCGATTTGATAAAACTGGAAGTGGGA